ACAAATAAAAAATATAGTAGTTCTAAAATGCAATTTCCCTGAGCAAAACTAATTTAACTCTCAGCACCATAAACTTGCCCAGATCAAATAGGGTGGTTCGAAGGCAGGCTGAAGGTCACAATAATATCAACTTTACAAACTATTACTAGAATCCTAAGGTTTCCTATCTGGAACCAGGGACAAAATACAGGGACAGAAACGTGACACAAAACAGAACATTCAGGGCTTATTAGGGCAGCAGGCGAAGTCAGACACACCTCCCCAATTCACTGAAATGATGACTTTCATATGCCAATATAGATCTGTTATTTGGACTGAAAATCAGGATCCTAATAATTCCAAAAAGTAGAAGTTGCATTACTTTTGTCATAGTTAACCATCTTACCGAAATACCACATATTTAATACTACACCTTCAATTTTGTAGATTTTAATCATACCCTCCAGGGAGGCCCTTGAGGCTCTGTCTTAAGCTCACTCAAACTCTGTAAGATATTTAGCAGCAGAGTAAATAGCCACAGCTTTTGGGCCTGATATATCTTCTCTGCCCAGCAAACCCACATTCCCAGAATACAAATTTATGCAACATTTTCCTTTTGAATGTCACAATACAGAGCTTTGCGGATGATTGCCACAAAAGATACCTTCCACCCACTTTCAGATTCTCTCTTCCTCCCTGTCCTTCTATACTGCAAACCATCTTAAAGGACTTAGGCAGATATAGCTTTGGTTAAAATCTAGTCATATAATAGGGCACAATGCTTTTACAAAAGTAGGCCAAGTGTAAACTGAATGTGGCTAGGACAGCTTCCAAATGAGAGGCCCTTATAAGGCATTCCACTGAATAAAAGGTAGGGTGAAAAGGCTGTCTGTGGTGCCTAGATTTCTTTGGCGAAAAGGTAGATCAAAAATGTACAGGTAATCCTTATGACTGTAATTGAGCCTGGAATTATGGTCATAACTTATAGCAATAGCAATAGCATTTAGACTTATATACTTATATACTATCCCATAGCATTTTATAGCACTCTCTGGGCAGTTTACAATGTAAGCATTATTTGCATATTGCCCCTAACAATCTGGGTCCTCATTTTACTGACATCACAATAGATTTTACCTATCAGGATCGAACTCCAGGCTGTGGGCAGAGTTTGCCTGCAATACTGCACTTGAACCACTGTGCCATCAGGTCTTAATACCACCATTAAATGGATCATATGTGACTGCACCTGATTTTACATCCTGTTTTGCCCTGATCATTAAATTAATGTTGTGTCCTTAAGTGAATCTGGTAGTCATTAAGCAAACCCATTTTAGCCAATGGGTGTTTTTTTGCAGAAAACTGGAAGTAAACACCAGTTTGGGGCAAAAAATATAATAAATCACAGTCACATGACCACGGGATGCTGCAAATGGCCATAAATGTGGGCTGGTTGCCAAGTGCTCAAAATGTGATAATGTGACTGCAATGTGAGGGGCAGTTGTTGTTGTAACTCTGAAACCAGGTTGTAACTATCTGTGGGGAGGTCTGTCATAATTTTAAATAGTTGGTAAACAGCCAGTCATAAAACAAGGTCTAAATCAGAGGCATCTTCAGGATGAATAAAAAAGGCAAGATGGTAGCACATGTAAAAAAAAAAATAGGGTGCAACTGAAGTTAAATGCCAAACAATTATTTTAATTTATCCAGGTTATAAATTTATAACAGTGAATTAAAAATAAATAAAATACATCCAATTTTGTTCTATCTACAGCATTGAGGTTTATCTATCTGTTGTGAATGAGGCCATTTGCTATTCAGCATATATTTTATGATGGACATCCTTTCTTAATAACCTTTTATTATTTTTCATCCATTTTTCCACTTATCATTAAAATAGATTTCCAGCAAGAATTAAAGTCAAACCAAAATAACAATAACACTTAACATCATCATACTTTTTCATTATTGTAAATTATTTATAAAAGATAAAGGGCAAATTCATCATACTATGTTGTTTTTGTTTTATGCTGTCACAGAAGTAAAACAATGATATTTAAAAAGAAGCTAGCCAGGAAAATAGCTTATTCAGAATTAAAAGTTAATAAAAGTCGTTCATCAAATATTTCATGATGATAGGGTCAACTAATTAAACCTGGACAATTTATATTGAACCTAGCAAAGTTTTACATTTAGGCAGAAAAAATCAAAGGCAGACTGGGCGAGACCTGGCTTAAAAAGAGTAACTGTGAGAGGGACCTTGGAGTCCTAGTGGATGATCACTTGACCACGAGCCAGCAGTGTGCAGCAGCAGCCAAAAAAGCGAATACAATCCTGGGTTATATAAATAGAGGCATAGAATCAAAATCACACAAAGTATTTATACCGCTTTATAAAACCCTAGTAAGACCACACCTGGAATACTGCAGCCAATTTTGGTCACCATATCACAAAAAAGATGTTGAGAGTTTGGAAAAAATTCAGAGAAGAGCAAGTAAGATGATCAAAGACCTGGAGACTAAAACATATGAAGAACGTCTGCGGGACTTGGGTTTGGCTGGTCTGAAGAAAAGAAAAAATAGGGGAGACATTGTAGCAGTATTCCAGTATTTGAGGGGCTACCACAAAGAAGACGGGGTCACGTTATTCACCAAAGCACCAGAGGGGAAGACAAGAAAGAATGGTTGGAAACTGACCAAAGAGAGAAGCAACCTAGAATTAAGGAGAAACTTCCTGATAGTGAGGACAATTAACCAGTGGAACAGTTTGCCTCCAGAAATTGTGAGCGTTCCATCATTAAAGATTGTTAAGAAGAGGCTAGACAGTCACTTGTCTGAGATGGTATAGGTTCTCCTGCTTGAGCAGGGGGCTGGACTAGAAGACCTCCCAGGTCTCTTCCAGCTCTATTCTATTCTATTACAGCATGAAAATGCTTTGCCATATTCTTCCTAGGTAATGTTTTGGTCTATCTTGCAATCTCAGAACTCTCTAATGCTGAGGTTTAAACTAACAGTAATAACCAAGCCCAACCACGATTCATTTTTGAGTGGAGATAAAATAGGTCTGATTTGTCACCTGCTATCTGGTACATGATCTCAAAATCCTGTTCTTCAAAAAAAAAATGAAGAAAATAGGGAAAAACTAGGACCAGAGGTTAAGTCTTCAGAGCTGGCCCTGATGACTGATCGAGATTGGATCCTGCAACATTATCCTGTGACATGTATATTTGCCTTCTGTCAAAGTTGGTTTGTTGGTAGGTAGTTTTATGAAAACTAGCCTTCTCTCAGATGAAGCTCTCCAAATGCCCTAGAGCTCATTTCCAGTGTTTATGCGTGCTGTAAATATAGGAGTTAGAGTGCCTAATCTTGAGGGTGCCAAGTTGAAGGAAGCTGGTTCACTATGACTATGAAATTCATCCAGGCTGTTGTCACAACAATGAATAATGCTAGAATTTAAGGAGGAAAGTATAATTATCTGTTACATCCTCAGGGAAGATAGCGCTGGCATGTTAAATTTATGGATTCAGAAAAGATATAAAATGAGTCCGAAAAACAAATAAACCTTGAGTGTATTGTTGAAAAACTGGGAGAATTAAACTACTTTGACTTACAAGCTGATTTTGAAAAGCAAAACAGGATTTATAGATTTATTTACAGTATGTCCAGATAAATAGCTACAGCATTATGTTAGCCCTCTTCAACCCTCCTGTTGTATTGAGTCAGTGATTCCCAGACTGTCTTAGTATAGCCTTTGTGTCATGAGTCCTTCAAATGCAGAACTGAGGCTATGCCTCAGCCTTTCTCAACCTAGTATATTCAGAAAGGCTTCCAAAATTCCATAACCAATATGATTGGGGAATTCCAGAATTTCCAATTCCAATATAGTTAGGTTGCATCAGGTTGAGGAAGGGTTATATACCTTCTCCTATGGTTTCAAGAAATACTTATCCCTAGGTTAATATTTGGGATCTGCTGCCTGGAGCTGGCAGAGATTAAACACAGAATCTTGCACACAAATCAAGTGTACACCATTTTCTTTGAATACCTGGATTATTACTCAAAGATGCAAAACAGTTGTGTCAATAGCTTGTAGTTTCACTTGGTATGCATCCCCAACTTGCTGTCCTCAGACATATTGGATTTCAACTATAATCCCCAACAATATATCTGGAATGCACAGACTGCAACCATTATTTAATTTAATTTAATTTATTCAATTTCTACAGCTGCCCATCTCAATCAGTGACTCTGAGAGGCTTACAATAAAAAATAAATAATAATACAATTGAAACAATAAAAACATTTTAAAACAGCAAAAAAATAAAAAAACTAAATGCAAATTTTACCCAAAATAAATAAATATTTATTTCATTTCCCCCAAATTAAGGGATTACGTGGTCATAAAAGGGGAGTTTTATATAAGGGAATTGTTATTTTCCTATCTAATTAGCAGTTCAGACAGATTTCTTTAAAAAGAAACGTCCAGCTAGAGCAGTGGTTCTCAACCTGTGGGTCGGGACCCCATTTGGGGTCGAATGACGATTTCACGGGGGTCGCCAAACAACGCAGTCCACCATTTTTTCCCTCTTTTCCTTAGCTTTGCTACTCCCTTTTATTCTATTGGCTTTTGAAAGCCAATAGAATAGACTCTCTTGAATAGAGTCTAATTCTATTGGCTTTCAAAAGCCAATAGGAATTGTCCAGGCTGTCTCTGCCCTGCTGAGCCGCCAAAAGTCCCATTCTGCAAACGATGCTGCACAAGTTGAGTAGTCCTCGACTTACAACCGGTTGAGTAGTCCTCGACTTACGAACGGTTGGGGGTCGTGGCATTAAAAAGGTTGAGAACCACTGAGCTAGAGATATTCCTCTGCATAGAATGCACTGTGCCTGGGACCAACTATCTGACCGAATAGTTCAAATCAAATGTCTTCTGTTCACCAGAATTTATGTCTTAGAAATATATTCTTTTTGCTTTACCCAGAGACATGATGGACAAATGGGGTTGGATTGGTCAGGCCTTACCTTGTAGCTTTGGCGTCCCAAATGACAATGTCCGCATCAGAGCCCACGGCTATTCTTCCCTTCTTTGGGTATAGATTAAAGATTTTAGCTGCATTTGTGCTAGTAACGGCTACAAATCTGTTTTCATCCATTTTGCCACTGTGCTGTAAAACAGCATGGGTGGAATTTTAATAAAAACATACGAAGAAGGCAAAATATTCATAAGCTTAGTGCAAGTGAACCCCATTTTGTCATTGGATATGAGATAGGCAGCAAATAAATGTTATACAGGTAGTCCTCCACTTACGACTACAATTGAGCCTAAAATTTCTGTTGCTAAATGAGAAATTTGTTAAGTGAATGTTGCCCCACTTTATGACCTTTCTTGCCACAGTTGTTAAGTGAATCACTGCAGTTTTTCAGTGGTTGTTAAGTGAATCTGGCTTCCCCATTGAAATGTTTGTCAGAAGGTTGCAAAAAGAGGGTCACATGGCCCCCGGGACACTGCAACCATCACAAATGAGTCAGTTGACAAGCATCTGAATTTTGATCACATGACCATGGGGATGCTACAATGGTAGTAAGTGTGAAAACACTCATAGGTCTCTTTTTTCAGTGCTGTTGTAACTTTGAACGGTCACTAAATGAACTGTTGTAAGTCAAGGACTACCTGTATGTATATATATATATATATATATATATATATATATATATATATATATATATATATATATAAATACAGTTCCTAATCTGGGGAAAATAATTCCCATATACCAAAGGTACTGTACCAGGACTTTCACAGTGTGGTGGGGGTGTAAAAAAAAAAAAGTAAAGATGGCAGCCACGGCCAAGCAGTCAGGACTCCACTCATTTTCATGTCCATAAAAAGGGAGCACAGCTTTAATTGTATATTTATGGTTGCCACTTTGGAATTTTTGACACCACCTTTGTATTGATCATCTGGTCCTGGACAGAATATTTCAAGACATCAAATTTCAACTCCCAACAGCTAATCAAAAACATAGCACCAAGGTAATAATTTTCTAAGAGAAGCACATAGTTTGGAAACAGCTCCAAATTTATAACCTGGATAAATTAAAATAACTGTTTGGTATTTGGCTTCAGGGAAATCAAACAGATTAATACAGTACACGAAACCTGCACACATTCTTAAAATTCATACAGCTTATCACTATAATAATCCTGAAGTGGGAGCCCAATAAATAAATAAAACCAAAAGAAGTCTTTTCAAAGGTGGCAATAATTTAGAGAAAATATAGAGAAAGGAACTGTAGCAATCAGCAAAACTGAATATGTATATTATAGATAAAATTCCTGCCTAAACAGAAAGCTTGCCTAAATGAATTGCTAAGGTTCTAAATTTGATGGATATTAATATAAATTGCTTCAATAATTTTGCATATGCTGTCAAGAAAGCTCTCGCCGTTTCTTAAAAGGTGGAACTTAGGTGCAAATCAAATACTAGATTACTCTCAAATTTAGCCATCCTGTGCATATTTAAAGTAAAAACACATATAGGAACTCAATTCCAAGCGGGTAAAAAGGTTTTTACTCTTCTGCTATGGAACTGATTTGGTTCCTTATAATTATTAACTGTATTTGAAGAATAACTTTCAGTAGTACAAATGAGATGTTCCCTTTTGGTGTATAGAAAGATGACATTCCTATTGATAATGGGACAAGAATAAAGACATTATCAAATAACTGAATCCTCTTTAATCCCACAAAGGTCCCAATCCAGATTGAATTCTTATGTCTATTTTAAAACTCTTTTTATCTCCTTGCTCAAAATCTATATTTGAGTAGCCTTAGTAGACAATGATCTAGTTATTTAGAATATTTTATCCTACTTGTATTCTTAAAAGGCATTTAAAGTGACTTAGCTTGATCTAGCTAGATGTTAAGGATTAAGAAAGGACATAATGATAGAAATATATTTAAGCATCTAGGACAAACTGTTATGTCCCGAGCCTTGCAAACGGCTCGGGCGTTTGCAGGCAGTCCCGGGCAGGTGCAAAGCTGCCCGGGACCAGACAGGCTGTCGCCAGCGCCGTGCGCATGCGCGGGTGCTGGCGCGGGAAAAGTAACCCATTTACCCGGGAGTTGCCTATATAAGAGGCTGTGAGGCGTTTGGGCTGAGCTGAAGCCATCTTCCTGTAAGCTGAACGCTGAATAAAAGAACTGAGAACTCCAGCTGCTTCTCGTGTCTGTTTTCCCGCCAAGGACGCAACACTGGCGACGAGGGTGGGATGCCTTGCACTACCTGGAAAGGAAAAAGTGTAAGCTTACCCAAGGAGTCCTGAGCGGCGGAAGAGGAACGGTGTTGACTCAGCAGCTGCCCGCCAATCCAGTGCGCATTCGGGGGTAGGCTGGCTGATAGACCCGTCTCCTGAAGATCCGAAGATGGCGAAAATCGGAAGGCTTGCGGAATTCGACGTCTCACATCCAGAGCGGTGGGAGTCCTACGTATCCAGAATGGAGAACTACTTCAAGGCAAACCAAGTGAGGGAAGATAGCTTGAAGGCTGCCACCCTGCTTTGCGCTTGCGGCCAAGACGCCTTCGAAATCGCAGAAAACCTTGCAGCACCTGTTCCAGTAGAGTCTGTAAGCTACGCAGACCTGAAGAAGCTGCTGAAGGACCACTTCCACCCCAAGGTGTCCGTTATCTCATGGCGCCACACCTTCGAGCAGAGGGATCAACGGTCCGGGGAGTCAGCCAAGGAATACATCGCCGCGTTACGGAAGGCCGCCAAGCCCTGCGAGTTCAAGGACCTCGAGGAACGACTGAGGGACCGATTCGTGTGCGGGTTGAGGCATCGAGAGCTACAACAGAGACTTTTCGCTAAGGAAGAATTATCCTTCCAAGACGCTTTAAGGGAAGCCACCGCGGAAGAAGCAGCAGGCGGCGCCGTCAAGAACATGCGGCCGATCAGAAGCAGTGCAGAGGGTGCGTCCGTGCACCAAGAAGACGTCCGACGAAACTCCGAGGAGGATCCGGACGAAGAAGTCGACCGTCTACACCCCGCGAAGGGAGAAAATCAGAAGGAAAGCTCTTCAGCTCCGCTCAAGTGCATCGGCTGTGGAGGTCGCCACAGGAGAACCGACTGCAAGTTCCGCTCCGCTACCTGCCGGGCATGCGGCAAACAAGGGCACATTGCAGCTGTGTGTCTGGGCCGACGAAAGGCACAACCTCAAGAAGAACGCCTGAAGGGTACCAGAGTCCCCAGCCAGAATAGGGTAGGTTTTTGCGCTTCGCGTAGAAACATTTGTAGGACAGGCACACACAAGCCCATGAAGAAAAAGCTGTCACTCAACGTGAAGCTACAAGGGGTTCCATTATCTATGGAACTAGACACAGGGTCCGCCCTTTCCATCATTTCATTGCATACATTTAGGAAGATTTGTTCCAGTAGTGGGACTAAGGCCAAGTTAAGGCCTTCTGATATTGTATTAACTGATTTTCAGAACTCAAGAGTGTGTGTTTAGGGGGAGGCCACCCTTAACGTGCAATACAAGAGTTTTGAAGGTCCACTAGACTTGTTAGTAGTAGGGGGTGAAAGAACGAGTCTCATAGGACTCGATTGGTTTGAGGCCCTGGGATACACGTCACAGGACTCAACAGCTTACAAACACTCGACCTACAGGAAGTCTGCAAGGAATTTGCAGATGTTTTCAGCCCCCAGCTGGGCACATTCAAAGGACCACCTGTGTCCTTAAAGCTAGACCCCACTGTCACTCCCATTAGGATTAAAGCAAGAAGGGTCCCTTTTGCTTTAAAAAGTAAGATTGACACTGAATTAGACAAACTAATCCAACAAGGAATCCTAGAACCTGTTGATTCCAGCCCATGGGAGACCCCCATTGTCACGCCTCTAAAGGCAAATGGGGACATTCGCATTTGTGCTGATTACAAATGCACACTCAATAAGGCATTGCAGCAACATGCCTATCCTGTTCCTGTGGTCAGTCACATCCTGGCCTCTCTCAAGGGGGGGCGTGTTTTTGCAAAGCTTGACCTAGCTCAAGCATATCAACAGCTGCCTGTTGATGATGATGCTGCCATAGCTCAGACTATTGTGACCCACAGGGGAGCCTTTAAGGTAAAAAGGCTGCAGTTTGGAGTGAATGTCGCTCCTGGGATTTTCCAAAGCGTAATGGAAAACACACTACGAGGTATACCAGGGGTCTGCCCTACTTTGACGATGTCTTGATTGCAGGAGACTCCACACACATTCTAGCTGAAAGGCTTAGGGCTGTCCTGTTAAGATTCAGGAAATCAGGCCTTAAGCTCAGAAAAGACAAATGCAAGATTGGGGTGCCTTCTACTGAATTTCTGGGATTCAAAATTGATGCTGCTGGGATTCATCCTGCTGAATCCAAACTAACTGCTATTTTAGAAGCACCCAGGCCAAAGTCTAAGGCCGAACTTCAGGCCTTCTTAGGCCTCCTGAATTTCTACAATTCTTTTCTTCCACATAAAGCTAGTGTAGCTGAGCCTCTTCACAGGCTACTAGACAAACAAGCTGTGTGGCTGTGGTCACAAGCACATGAGGCTTGCTTTAAAGAAGTCAAGGCCTTGCTCACTTCTAACAGTGTTCTTGCACATTTCAACGAGTCTCTTCCTGTGTGCATCGCTTGTGATGCATCCCCCTACGGGGTTGGAGCTGTCCTGAGTCACCTCAGGTCTGATGGAACTCAGGTTCCTATTGCATACTACTCCAGAACATTGTCTTCTGCCGAGCGCAACTACGCTCAGATAGACAGGGAGGCTCTGGCTGTTGTTGCTGGAATTAAAAAATTCCACGATTTTCTATATGGCAGGCATTTCACGGTCTTCACTGACCATAAGCCTCTGCTGGGACTGTTTACCACACGTAAGCAGACTCCCCACATCATTTCCCCTAGAATGCTTAGGTGGTCTATTTTTTTGTCTGCATATGATTTTTCATTACTCCACAAGCCTGGGAAAGAAATGGGCCATGCTGATGGCCTCAGTAGGTTGCCTCTGCCAGTAGTAGAAGCTGACCCCGCGCCAGCTGTCAACATTCTATCAATCCAAGCCTTGCCCGAGCTTCCTCTTAGTGCCAGGGATGTTACCGCTGAAACAGGTACAGATCACACACTTTCACGTGTCCGCTCCTGGGTCCTGTCCGGGTGGCCTGAGCACTGCCCTAGTCCTGAGTTTCAGAGTTTCTGGTCCAAAAGGAACGAATTGTCCCTTTCTCAGGGTTGTTTGCTTTGGGGAAACAGAGTTGTCATTCCCACCTCAATGAGGACTAGGGTCTTAGAATCCCTCCACGAGGGTCATCCTGGCATTGTTCGCATGAAGGCTCTTGCACGCAGCCACTTGTGGTGGCCTGCTTTAGATAAAGATATTGAGGCTAAGGTACACGCATGCCACATGTGCCAACGATCTCGCCCAGAGATGCCCCAAGCTCCTGTGCATAAATGGGAGGAAACACAGTCCCCATGGTCTAGGGTGCACATTGACTACGCTGGGCCCTTTCAGGGCCAGTTCTTCTTGGTCCTTGTTGACAGCCATTCAAAATGGCTTGAGGTTGTGCCTGTCTCGTCCACCACCACTGCAAAGACTATTCAGGTACTGAGGGGGATTTTTGCTGCACACGGGCTGCCAGATGTCATTGTGTCTGACAACGGCCCTCAATTCACCTCCTCCGAATTCCAAGCTTTCTTACAGGCAAACCTGATTCGTCATGCCACATCTGCGCCTTTTCACCCATCCACCAACGGTATGGCTGAACGCATGGTGCGCATCGCAAAGGACGCCTTGAAGAGACTCACCTACGGGGACTGGCATCACAGGTTGGCTGACTTTCTCCTTTCTTATCGCACCACACCGTCCACTTCTACAGGGAGAAGTCCAGCTGAACTTCGTTGGGGGCGCCAACTTACTACGAGACTTGACCGGTTGCATCCGGACAGACTGCCTTCATCTACCTCACATCCTAGGGCACCTAGACAACTACTTGTGGGTGCCCCGGTTTGGGCTCGCAATTACGGGCCTGGTCATACATGGGTCCCCGCTTCTGTGTCCAGGATCACAGGTCCTCTCTCCTACGAGGTTGCCCTGGACAACGGTCGTGTCCTGCGTCGGCACATCGACCAACTCCGCTCTAGGCGGGACTTTTCTGCTGAAACTCCTGGGTCTTTTCCAGGGGGGGAGGGGGACCCTTTGGAGCAAAGGGAAGGGCAAGAGCTACTGCCCATCGCCACTGAGGGAGCCACAAACGGCTCGTCCCAAGGTTCTGCAATTGCTCCGAAAAGGAAGTCTTGGAGCTTACCCACACAACAGGCACTCACGCCTACTCCAGCCAGGGAGTTACCCCGGGGGCATACTCACTTTCCACACACAGCACACAGCACTCCAGCAACGGAGGATACCCGGGGGCATCCCAACAAATCATTCCCCGCAAGAGAGCTGGCACACAATGCCCAAGGTTGGCCTGACCTTACCCCAAATCCTACAGGGGGTCAAACATACACAGAGCTAGTCGAGGAACCAAGTCCCGACTACAACACCCCTAGCACAAATCAGGGGACACCTGAGTTTTGGGAGAGTACAGAAACCCACACGAGCCCAAACACAGAATGGGGTTCAGGGAATAGACAGCCTCCTGACAGGTCTTGGACTGACCTAGGGGGTTCTACAGAGACGCCCAGCAGTGGCTATCACTTCAAGGGGCCTGAGGGTCTACAGCTAGGTAGGACAACCAGGTCACAAAGCAACAGAAGCCCTGGCCTGACGAGCCCGGTGGGCAAGCAAGCAGGCCAGGCATCGGGGCACAGTCCTTGGAAGACACCAGGGCACAGTAGAGAGAACAGGCTCACGCCTCCCTCCAGTCAGGGGACTTATGCCAGTAACCCAGAGCTAAGAAGGTCACAGAGAGCAAAGAAATCTCCTAAGTACCTAGAAGATTACATAACATTGTTGGCAAGACAAAAGCCAGTAAACAGTGGGAACACTGGGGAGCAAATTGTCGTGTAAAATAAATGTTGTATGTTGATAGTAGTTTTAGCCCGGGGGAAAGGGGTGTTATGTCCCGAGCCTTGCAAACGGCTCGGGCGTTTGCAGGCAGTCCCGGGCAGGTGCAAAGCTGCCCGGGACCAGACAGGCTGTCGCCAGCGCCGTGCGCATGCGCGGGTGCTGGCGCGGGAAAAGTAACCCATTTACCCGGGAGTTGCCTATATAAGAGGCTGTGAGGCGTTTGGGCTGAGCTGAAGCCATCTTCCTGTAAGCTGAACGCTGAATAAAAGAACCTGAGAACTCCAGCTGTTTCTCGTGTCTGTTTTCCCGCCAAGGACGCAACACAAACATTTATATTAACCCCAGTTCCTTGGATTTATGTAAAACTCACTTTTTCTCTAACAACAGAGCTTGTAGAAAGTTGGAGTTCTAATGTTCTTTCCAGGCAGCTAATTCTAAGAATTTACCTGTCATAGTCGAGATCATTTCCAGGTGCCATTTCCAGGTATCAAGAGCAACTCAGAGCAATTTATATAGTCAAATCAGAAATATTACCAAAATAAGTACAGTAAAGAACTTCTATCTTCCAGGAAAGAGAAATCAATGATAATTATCTATTCAAGCCATACCTTTGAAAGAATTTAGTTCAGATCAGAAAGCTAGAGAAAGGAGCAACCATTTTTGAGAGTGCATGCACATGCTTTAGATTTAAAAGGGAAAAAAATATTTTAGTGCATCCAGAGGGTGCTCATGAAGCACCTTTCTGCAGCCCCTGAAGTTAAGCATGTCTTTTGTTGGGGCTTCACCATAGTTGAAATGGCAAGCATGGAATACTAGGGAAAAATGTAGCTGCTTTAATGAGGACACTTTGTTCTTGTCTTTACCATTGTATTAGAGAATGAATTGAAATCCCACTTACCACTCCTTTTTCCCAGATTACAGACATCCGGTCTTCTACTCCATTCACTCCATTTGGGATCTTCGTGAAATTATTTTTTCCCATAGCCTTCTGGCAGATATCAAACGTACAGTTATCTGTTCCAGTCACAGACAAGTCACCACTTCAAAAAATAAGGTAAAAGAAGTACTATTACTGAAGTGGCATAAAGGGCAAGATAATTCCAATTATGAATATACATCCTACTTGCTTCATTGTTTAAATCTTAAAAACATTTAAGTAACAAGAAATGTGCTGAAAATGGAAAGAAAATAAAAAATGAACGACCTATAAAGAAATCACATCATCTTCAGGTTAAACCAATAAAACCCTATTTGTGGAGATATCAGCTTGTATTCAACTATACCCCTAAATTAGTTGGAACAATGGCATAAGATCAATGAAAATAAAGTTCTGCTAGACCAGGTTTATTTTATGACTCGTGGACTTCAACTCCCAGAATTCCTGAGTCAGGAATTCTGGGAGTTGAAGTCCATGAGTCATAAAAGAGCCAAGGTTGCCTACCCCTGTGCTATTCAACCACCTCAGGAAGCTCCTCAGATATTGATAGCCCTCATTTATTGCTTCCCAAGATGATATTGCTCCCTAGTGGCACTAGAGTCATCATTCTACTGTAGTCCAGGTAGTCCTCAATTTACAACAGTTTATTTAGTGTTCAAAGTTACAATGGCACTGAAAAAATACTTATGACGGTTTTCCCACTTACGATTGTTATAGCGTCCTATGATCAAAATTCAGATGCTTGGCTTGACTCGTATTTATGATGGTTGCATATGCCGAGGTCATGGAATCACTTTTTATGACCTTCTAGCAAGCAAAGTCAATGGGGAAACTAAATTCACTTTACTAACTTAACAACTGCAGTGATTCACTTAACAACGGTGGCAAGAAAGGTCATCAAATGGGGCAAAACTCACCTAACTGTCTCACTTAGCCATGGAAATTTAGGGCTCAGTAGTGTTCGTAAGTAGAGAACTACCTGTACTATTTTGAGGGGGGCAGATTTAAATTCCTTTCATTAACCAATGAAAGGAAACCTGGAACACTGCAGTATAAAGGGTATCAATGCCTTGGAGCCACATAATCCTTTCAGGAAATAGATATGATAAGTGGCTGCAGTCCAATGCGTTCTATGGAAATGTTCCAAATAGTTGGAAATTGACCAAGATAAGCTGGACAAATTAGGAGGAAGCTGGAGTCAGGCTAGAAAAGGAGAGAAGGAAGAAGAAAGCAACCTATTGAAATTGGCCCCTAGTAAATAGAGACTTGTTACAATATGGCCATCTAGAGGGCAATAGCTCACCAAGGGGCTGATGTGGAAAAGCTAAGCAGGATTAGACCTGGTTATTATTTGCCTGGAATGTCACAAAGAAAAACCTGTACTGAAGCTAGATGGGAAGTTGAAAAACATCTCAGGATACAGCAGTGGCAAATCATTTCTATAGTTTTGCTAAGTAAACAACATGGATATGTCTCTAAGATCAAGCTTGACTCAAAGGACACTTTCATTTTTATCTTGGTGATTGGTGAAGTTTCCCTTCCAAAATGAGCTATTTTCTGAAAGGATCCATGATATCCTCTCAAAATAAGCTGTATGACTTTTATTCAATATTTAGCTGTTTCCAAGCAAACTGGGAAAACCATACTAGAGGTGACATATACATATATATGTATGTATGTATGTATGTATGTATGTATGTATGTATGTATGTATATATGTGTGTGTGTATGTGTATGTGTATACACACACACACACACCAGAAACATAATTATTTTCCCCAAAAGGAACATTAAAAGTCCTTTTCACATTTTTTACATTTTTCCTTCAAAATCCATCGAAACACATTACTGTATTTTGCCTTTTTGTTTATGTTGGTTTTAACAGCCACTTAGGGCCCGTTTATTAAAGGGCTCTTGTGAATGCTGAACTTTTTTACTTTGCTAGAAGATTCATGAGGAAGTCTGGAGTGGAAGCATCAGGCCTCAGCGGAGGAGCCATGACGTGAGCTGCCGCCCAAGACCAGTCCTTATGCCAATAGTGAGTGCCATCTGTACAAAGGCTTGCAGCTATAGGCTCACCATACACAACTTTGCCTATGGAGACAAGAACAAGGCAAATTAATAGTAAGAAGAATAAAACTAATATTACTAAGTTGCAATTCCACATCAGTGGATTGGCTCAGGTATAATACAGTCAATGCATGTAATCTAAGTTTGACCAACTCAATGAATGGCTGAGCAGATGTTTGGGGGAAAAAACTAATGAAGGGGTGGGCAGTTTTGGGGAACACACGTACACTCTCTTCCCAGCTTTTCTGTGGTCACTGAAGCTTGCTACAGAAATTATTAGTTTTTGTAAATCATCTCAATGATTGTAGGTACAGACTGGTCTTCCAATTATGTGTACACATAGAATCAAAATATATGCATGCATGTTGGAATCAGTCCATGTATAAAAAGTGATCTGACAGGCAAAATGATGATGCTTAGAAAAGATGATTAGAAGTTAAATATTACATTGTGGTTCACATAATAATTAAAAAAAGGATTGATGTCTGTCCTCTTAAATAAAATAATGAAGAAAGATAACTAGGTAGACCAAAATTTAGTAGCAAAGTGCCAAGAATATGGTAGGCCATGGCATACATCTTTTTGATCCCTCTCAGTTCATTTTTCTGTGAAGGAAACCCTAATTCCACTCATCTTAAAATTGCTAAGGTTGACAAAGACTGCTCTAGAGCAGAGTCCCCAACTTTTTCAGCTTTGTGGGCCAGCGGGGAGGGAAGGGAGACGGGATGGTTACGTGTGAGGAGTGGGCACATGGGCACGCCGCCCACTGCTTCCACAAATGGAGCATGCACACGCTCGCCTGCTGTTTGTGCAAGTGGGGGGATGCACACATGCGTGCCCGCCCACCACTTCTGCAAACAGGTTCCAAATGGCTCAAGGCCCAGAGATGGGCCACAGCCCGGGTGTTGGGGATTACTGCTCTAGAGGAAAGGACGATGAAATAATAATCTATTAATGTAGAATCAGTAACAGGGCTGTAGCACGACTGTTAATTAGAGGAACTACTCCAATTTACCACCGATTAATTGTGATCATTCCTATCCTTTCCTGTCTCCCGAGTGATCTTTATATTAATAATCACAAACATTTTTTTAAAAAAAATTGTATTTTTGTTCTGCTTTTAAAGCTACTGGTTGTAACTATGCAATAAAAGATAATATTACATGTTCACATGCAGCTACCCACCATCTGCAGAATCTTTAAATCAATATTGTTGAGGTCTCATCTACTTTTGACAGAGAAATCAAACAAAATAGAATAACCATTTATGGTTATAAAAGCAAAAGCTTTGGGGCAGCTGAAAATAATGCTGCTTTGTAGAGGGACAAACTAAGAATGTTTACTCAGTAGCTGATACTTATTTAAGAACGTTGCAAACTGCATTTCATATTATTTATCCCAGGGCTGCTTACCATGCAAATTAAAGCAAAACAAAACAATAACATTTATCATAAAAAATAAAACCACAAAAAGATTTTAAATTCAAATTAAAGCAGCCCTTTGAAAACTTGATATTTGAATCCTAGGCTGTTGAAGGCTACAAAAATTGAAAAATGAATCTATCCAACACACACTTTGCAAAATTGGCAGCGTAGTGTCCCAGAAAACCAAGTAAAACTTTGACTGCTATATTTTGAACAAAGGCTGTAGCTATTGAACTACAACCGACAACAAAGACATCTCTAGAGTTATGTACAAAAGATTTCAGTGTACAGATTACAGTATTACGATACTTAGGTTGCAGAGACAATTAGTTGGCAGCAAAGAAACACTGAAAGCTAATTTTTTGGTGTTAGCTAGTGATTGTCTGATTTACTTTTGCAACCCAGATGTTATACAAAAAAGAGAGAGAGAGAGAGAACCAGTTTGATCTAGGTGTTAAGGTACACAACTAGAAACTAGGAGGCTCTGAGTTCTAGTCCTGTCTTTCGCATGGAAGTTGGTTTGGTGACTTTGGGCCAGTCATTCTGCCACACGGCCTCAGTCTACAGCATTAAGTTTGGAAAGGAAGCCACTTGGTCAATTCCTACAACTAATAGAACAATACTTGGTTGATTCAAAAAAAGTAGATGTTTGGAAGAAAAAAAGTAGTTACAGGCAAGGGATGGGCTGCACCTCACAAAAACAGGGGAAAATATACTCGGAAAAAGACTGGCCCAACTCATCAGAAGCACTTTAAACTAAAATTGAAGAGGGAGTATGACCAATCATTAGAATCTCTAAAATCCAAAACCAATCATGAATCCCAAGAAAACAAATCAAACAATGAGGTAGGCAGAGACGAGAAAAAAGAAAAACCCAAACAACAATCAGGAGATGCAGGAAACAAGTCCACAAACAGGCATAAAAGTCTTAAATGCTTATTTACAAATGCTCAAAGCTTGGGGAACAAACAGGGTGAACTAGAAGCAATAGTACACAGGGGAGGATATGACATAGTTGGCATTACAGAAACCTGGTGGGATGAAACCCATCAATGGAATGGACTGATAGATACAAATTGTAGGTAGGAAAAAACAAAAGTACGAGTACAGATTGGGCAAGACCTGGCTTAAAAACAGTAACTGTGAGAGGAATCTTGCAGTCCTAGTGGACGATCACTTAACCATGAAGCAGTAGTGTGCAGCAGCAGCCAAAAAAGTTAATACAATCCTTGATTGTATAAACAGAGGCATAGAATCAAGATCACGCAAAGTATTAGTACCGGTTTATAAAACCCTAGTAAGACCACACCTGGAATACTGCAGCCAATATTGGTCACCATATCACAAAAAAGATGTTGAGAGTTTGGAAAAATTTCAGAGAAGAACAACTAAGATGATCAAAGGCTTGGAGACTAAAACATATGAAGAATGGCTGCACAACTTGGGTTTGGCTGGTCTAAAGAAAAGAAGAAATAGGGGAGACATGATAGCAGTATTCCAGTATTTGAGGGGCTGCCACAAAGAAGAGGGGGGGTCACATTATTCACCAAAGCACCAGAGGGCAGGACAAGAAACAATGGTTGGAAACTGAACAAAGAGAGAAGCAACCTGGAATTAAGAAGAAACTTCCTGATAGTGAGGACAATTAACCAGTGGAAGAGATTGTCCCCAGAAATCATGAGCGCTCCATCACTGGAGATTTTTTAAAAGAAGCTAGACATTCACTTGTCTGAGATGGTATAGGTTCTCCTGCCTGAGCAGGGGGTTGGACTAGATAGAAGACCTCCAAGGTCCCTTCCAGGTCTATTCCATTCCATTCCATTCTATTGCTATAATCAGACTAGCAATATTTTGTTATTATAGCCAATAAACATAGTTTTAGCCTTCCTGTGGAGTTGATTTTCTGGTCTGGCTCATCTGGTGGAGTGCCACTGCCTGAAGTTATCTGAATCTCAATGTAATTTTTCCTAGAAACTCCAGTAGTGAATGTACTGCACTGAATACAATATGTTTGCAAGTGGCCATAATAAATGCTTAGCAATAGCTGCAGTTTATTGCCTCTTAATGTTCAAATCTGACTCCTCTCAGCCAAATGTGCTTAGGCGGTGTCTGCAAAAACATGTGATGATGATTAATGGTTCACATTAAGGAGAAGGCTGGGAACCATTGACTTAATTGATTAACAGCCTTATAATGTTGACTCCAAAATAAATAAAGTAATGATATAATCCCCAACAAGAATTTATATGAATATACATTTGTGGGATCAGGTGATTGTTAACAGATGTACATTAATATTTTCTACCTGGCCAGAACTCATATACAGCTGAATAGGGGTGATGAACAATACCATTAAAGTTGTCTGGTCCCACATCAAAAAAGTTATTCAAGAGCAGACATGGTTAAGAGTTGTCTAGTGCTGTCAGACTTAGTCATCTGGAATGTCCAAAAATCATTTTGGGAAAAGGCAATAGAAAATCTTTATGGTAAGACATGGCCATATCCTGTAGTGGGATTCAGCCAGTTCGCACCGGTTCAGCAGAACCGATACCTAATTTTTTGTTGAGTTCGGCAAGCTGGTTATGATAAATCTGTGTTTTCCAGAACACGTCAAGTTTTTGTTCAACTTCCTTCCAGGCAGGGGGGAAAAACCCTCCCCAAAAGTCCGAGAGGAGCAACAGAAACTAAATGGAGGTGCAGCGCCTTGGATCATGTCACTCAGGGGGAAACTAGGTAGTTCTTCTCAGAGGTGATTTCAGGAATAGAGGCTTCATCTCTCTGGTTTCCTGATTGGTGCATATGGGAAAGGGAGTGAGGCCACCAAGTATTAGCTGTGGCTCTGGCTCTGGAACTTTTTTCTGTCTAGCTATATAGAGCGCAACTAATGATGAGTGGGAAAGCTCTTAAAGGGTTCTGTGATTTCATGTATTAAACTCTAATGTAGTTCTTTGTAGCAGAATGGGCTTTCCTATTTTATACCAAGACCTATGATTTAAATTTAAATAGCAGAATTTCAATTTCATATATCAAACCTTAGTTTAGTGTTTTAATATAATAAGCACCGTTTAAGTGACAGGTACTATTTCAAATGGTCATTAGGGCAGAGAGCTGGTTATTAAATTATTTGAATCCTACCACTGGACATATCTTTATGGTCACCACATTATTCAGTCTGGTTTCTTCCAGTTGTTAGATCATCTCCCTGCAAGGACAGGGAGGAAGCATGATCTAAGGCAGGGATCCCCAACCCCTAGGCTGTGGGCTGTTCGCAACTGGGCTGCAGAAAAAGCGTGCGTGTGAAGCTCAACTCATGTGAGCGGACACCACTTATGCTGACGGGCGAAGCTCCACTCATGTGAGAGGAGAGCACTCGCTCGCGAAGCTCCACTCGAGTGAGCAGATGACAACTTACACTTGCATGCGAAGCTCCATTTCCACAAATAGAGTTTCATGCACAAGTGTCCTCTGCTCACACAAGTAGAGTTTCATGCACAAGCACAAGTGTCTACTGCTCGTGCGAGTGGAGCTTTGCGCACAAGTGCAAGCACCTTCTGCTTGTGTGCAAAGCTCCACTCACATGAGCAGAGGGCACTTGCACTCTCACAAGAAGCTCCATTTGCGCAAATGGAGTTTTGTGAAGAAGTGCCCTCTGCTTGTGCGAGTGGAGCTTTGTGTGTAAGCACAAGCGCCCTTCGCTCGTGAGTGCCTGTTGCTTGCGCACTAAGCTCCATTCATGAGAGTGGAAGGCATGCTTCTCCTGCGCTGGGCTGGGCCACCAAATTGGGAAGGTTGGAGACCACTGATCTAAGGTGTACAAATATGATAAAATATATTAATTTAGGAAAAAAAAATTTTTTTGCAGGTGAGCTCTGCGTAGAACAGTATTTCTCAGCCTTGGCAAATTTAAGTTGTATAGACTTCAGCTCTCAGAACTGCCCTGCCAGCTATCCTGGGAGCAAAGGTTACATGTCTTAAAGTTGCCAATGTTGAGAAACACCGAATGTATATACTTACATGATGCGGCAAAACACTCTAATCTTGCAGTTTGGAAGCTTCAGGATAGCCTTGGGAAATTTTGCTCTGACCTACATATTTTAGCTGATTATACAGTTTATTACACTTGATTCTGAAAACACATCATTTTTCAGGAAAAATAGCTATTCCAACTGCAAACTAAACTCATTGTATTGTCAACAGTGACATCTTGTGGTCGTCTAGGGGACAAAGAAAAGGAACTCAGCTCAGCCTTATATTTAAGTTAATTAAATATTGATTAGTTACAGGGAAAAGAACTGAAGCCTAAGCTGCAGAAGTAAGTAAAAAATGTTCTTGAAACCCCAAGACAGCCTCCATTTGGCTGAACAATTAATCACCAAGAGCTAGCAGTTTCATCCAAAAGAAAATGCAATGTTTCATAGTCATATCTTCATGTAACCCGGACTCCAAATCTTCTCAAGCTTTTAATACAAGAACTTGACCTCCTGAATATTAATCTAAGGCATATCTGAGAACATATTCTGGACACTCAGACAAAATGGCTGCTAATGAGGGATAAAATGAGGATAAAATGGTGAGGTGGTTCTTCACGAGAGTTTCTAGCTCACAGGATGTATCCTTTTCTAAGTTTACCTTCAATATTCCCTATCCCATGAACACATTTACAAAAAAAAAAAAAATCCTAATACAAGAACCCATAATTTTTATTTCATATTAATATCTGCAGGTATTATGAGGAACCTGAAGCATTTTTCTAAATATAGTGGCAAAAAGTTGGGACTTTGTTTTGCAACTTGTCCACTTCATTTTCTTTAATTAAAGACACTATAAGGCAGTGGTTCTCAACCTGTGGGTCGGGACCCCATTTGGGGTCGAACGACCATTTCACGGGGGTCACCAAACAACGCAGTCCACCATTTTTTTCCCCCTTTTCCTTAGCTGTGCTACTCCCTTTTATTCTATTGGCTTTTGAAAGCCAATAGAATAGACTCTCTTGAATAGAGTCTAATTCTTTTTTTTTTTTATTGAAAATTTTTTATAAATTTTTACAGAAAAACAAAAAAATAACAATACAACAACAGCATAAACAAGAAATGAAACAAAACGAAACAAAACAACCCTTCCCCTACCCCCCCCCAGAATACCCACTCCCTCCCCCCCCCGGAGCTTCCCAGAGCAGAATATAGGCTTAATTAAGAAAAATTAAAAAAGTTATATATATATATATATATATAAAAAAGAGTATAACACTAAGATATATATATATATATAAAAATAAAGGTTATGAAAAAGCTAAATGGTATTTTTTTATACCCAATTTAAATTGTATAAACTTTATCCATTTATCCCAAACAGCAAGAAATTTCTCTTGCGATTGTTCTTTTAAAAAAGCCGAAATCTTTGCCATTTCCGCCAAATAAGACACTTTAAAAAACCATTCCTGCAAAGTAGGCAAAGATTCCTTCTTCCAATATTGTGCTACTAACAGCCTTGCGGCTGTGATCAAATTTAACATCAATATAACCTCCTTTGTGTCACAATCCGTAACTATACCTAACAAAAATAATTGTGGAGTAAATTTTACCCTCCTTCTAAAAATTCTCTGAATATTCCACCATATCTTAATCCAAAAGGCTTTTATATTTCTGCACAACCACCAAATATGATAATAGGTGGCATCCAAACAACCACATCTCCAACATTTAGGCTGTAGGTCAGGGTACATAAAAGACATTTTTTGTGGGTCAAGGTGCCATCTATAAAACATTTTGTAGAAATTCTCCCTTAAATTCTGTGCTTGTGTAAATTTAACATTTCTCACCCAAATGGTTTCCCAGGTATCCAGTAGGACTGGTTCGCCAAAATTTTGCGCCCATCTGATCATACAATCTTTAATTAATTCTGTTCCTGAGTCCAATTCCACTAAAACCCCATAAATTCTCTTAATATGAGTTTGTCTTTGATCCTTCACTTGCTTAATAAGATTTTCATCTTCTCTGAGAAAACCCAGCTTATGATCCATCTTCCATCTATCTACTAATTGCCTATATTGAAACCAAGAGTAAGTAATGTTTTCATGTACTAACTCTTCCAGTAGTTTTAACTGCCAATTTTGTCTATCCCATCTAAGTAACTGTGTATAAGACACCATGTCCATTTTAACACCTCTTTTTATTCCTTCTATCGCATGCCATGGTATAGCCCATAGTGGTACTTTAAAATCACTTTTATAATATTTTCTCCAAACCCTAAGTAAAGAGATTCTTATAATATGAGATTTAAAAGCCCGATCCACTTTTTTATTAAATATTAAATAGGCATGCCAACCAAAAAGTAAATCCCATCCCTCCAAATGAAGTATCTCAAGGTTTGTTAAATTTACCCAATCACTGATTAATGTTAAAACCACCACATCATAGTATAATTTCAAATTCGGTACCTTGAGTCCACCTCTCTCACGGAAGTCTTGCATGATTTTAAACTTAACCCTTGGCTTTTTCCCTGCCCAAATGAATTTATTAATACCTTTCTGCCATTCACTTAAGTTAATCTCGTTTTTCAAAATCGGTAGCATTTGAAACAAAAAAAGAAACTTGGGTAGAATATTCATTTTTATCACTGCAATTCTTCCCATGAGGGATAATTGCAACTTCTCCCAATTCCTCAGGTCTTTCTGTACACTGACCCACAACCTTTCATAATTATTTTTAAACAATTTTGCATTAGAAACAGATAACAACACCCCCAAATATTTTACCTTATTAACAATTTCAAAACCCGTCAGGTTAGCCAGAATCTGCTTCTCCCGAATAGTCATATTTTTAGGTAGGATTTTAGTCTTATTAACATTAATCTTGAAACCCGAAACCAAACCATAGTGATAAATCAACTGCAATAACTTTACTACAGAATGAGTAGGTTGCGACAAAGTAACCACCAAGTCGTCCGCAAAAGCTCTTAACTTATATTCTTTTTTGTTAACTTCGAATAGAGTCTAATTCTATCGGCTTTTGAAAGCCAATAGGAATTGTCCAGGCTGTCTCTGCCCTGCTGGGCCCGCTAAAAGTCCCATTCTGCAAACGGTGCTACACCAGTTGAGTAGTCCTTGACTTACGACCGGTTGAGTAGTTCTCAACTTACGACCGGTTGGGGGTCACGGCATTAAAAAGGTTGAGAACCACTGCTATAAGGAGTGGGGGCTGGAGGGGGAAATTAAAACTTGGTAGGCAATCAGTTAGGCAGCCTCCACTGGAGATGACTGTAGAATCATATTTGGAATCCCAGGTCTAACCAAATAAGAACATTCAAGCATCTTTAACAAGAACCTACCTTGCCTCCGGGCATCTGCCACTATCTTGGCTGAAGACTTACTCATCACGTGTACAACATAGAGAGGACAATTCACTGAGTTTGCAATGGTAATTGCTCTCAATGTGGCTTCTGCTTCCACTTCTTCTGGTCGGGCCATTTCATGTCCTTCTGGACCAGTTATTCCCAAAGCCAGCATCTTCTTTTCACCCTATATGTAGGCCAGCCATAGTGAATACATTACCAGATTTGGTCAACAAATGGCTGTAAACATTACAATCCCATTCATTTGCTTGCCATGGAACAGGAAGTTTTACTTCAAGTTTCCCAACCACTAAACTGATTATACCATGATACTGAGAATCCAGCAAACCAATTGCATTATATTCGACTCCTAGGTGAGAAACTACTTAGGTCCAAGCTACAGGTTACATGAACAAGTGCAGAATTTTTCTGACAAAGAAAAGTCAGAATGAATGAGCTAGTGTTGTTTACAGGGATTGAGTGTGTGTCAAATGAGTAGGTGTATTAAAGCATTGTTGTGCTGTTGTTGATGCAAACCCTACCCTTTTGTATGGGCTGTCACGCACATCCCAAAATGGCAGAGCTTGCAGCCCAACACTGTTTTCATTATTTTGACAACAGCAGCTGGATTTTATTTATTTATTAATAAAATTTCCTGTAGGTGTTCTAGCTTTAGAGGTATGCTCTCCATTGCATTCTCAACATTAATTTAAAAATCTCTGCCTTCTACCAAAGAAGAATTCTCCTCTACTTCAATGAGAACATACAGGCTGAGAGAGATCACCTATGACAGATTCAGTATCTCAGTCTAGAGTAAAGATTATTCCTACTGGCTATTTCTGAAGAGCAAATTATGTAATTAGCTTTTTGTTTGGCTTGGTTCTTTCTGGATGTAAGTAAAGAATGAAAAATTAATTACTGATATAAAAGGAAATAAGTACACATGGAAAAAAAATTCCATGACTTTAATTAGTGAATTCCTTAAAGGAAATAAGTACACATTTATTTCCTTTAAGAAATCAAGAAATAAAGTCATTATTTAATTACTTTAATTAGTGGATTTCTTAAAGCAGTGGCATCTTTCTTTTTAAGGCTATGATGGTCAACTGGAAAAAGACAGACTCCTCTAATGGCTGGCAGAGATGAAGTGCCCTTTCTCATGATCCTAAATACTTCTTCCAAATCATTTGCAAATCATGAACATAATGGATGTATTTGTAACTGCTGAGTGCTTAGTTTACATGCACATACATACATTGTGACAGGTGCATGTAGTAGAATTAGGGTGGCTAAGGACTATGTATGTATGTGTGCTAATTTTTGTCTTCTCCTTGGTTTCCTGCATTTTAGTCAAATACATTTTCAGCAAATTTCATCCATTGGATTATTTTTTAGATTGATAAATTTGGGCAGCCAGAGTGGTGGAAGTTATATAATAGAATATTGTAGTTCCAGCATCCAACAATAAAATAAGCTTGGGAATACACCTGAGAAATTCAAAAGAGATCCTTAGGCATCCTGAGTGTAAGTTGGAACAACCTAAGTTCTTTGCAGTACAAGAAGTCCTGAGAAATTGCAAGGTGAACTGTGGCCATTGACCTGTATAGACACCCTGATTGAATAAAGCAATTTATTGGGGTGTTTATGTCAAGCAGACATAAACACCCCAAAGGGAATAAGAAGGAACTTGGAGGCATTGGAGTGGATCTAATGTGTCAGGTTTCTTTGCCCCTCCATGTATAAATATCTGTATGCATGACAGGGTACTATTAGGACTGTGGAAGTCTTGGATGCTCTGCTTTGACGGAGATCCCATCTCCAAGACTAAAATGATCAGGATGCACCTTCTCTGATTGCCTCAGTTGCCACTGAAGATTGCAGGGCAAGACTGTGTAGTGAGGCTAATGCCTTATCAAACAATTTGTGGAGCTTCAATCGTGTAGTTGCAAGCCACCATCTTGACCTTTTAAAACACACCCTTCCCCGATGCTTCTATAGGGTCCTTGATGTTCTCTGATCTTGATTGTATTCTTGCAGATGTTTCATTACAAAACTAGGTAACATTATCAGTGTATTTTACCACTGTGCATTACCAAACTAACATCATCATGAGCACTGACAATGTTACCTAGTTTAACATTTTAAGGAAATGTCTACGAGAAAACAATCAAGGTCAGAGAGCACAAAGGCCCCCACAATTCAACCCTGAGCTACAAATATCTATCAGTACCCTGTTCAACTAAAAGAATTGTACCATCCCATGGAACAATATCCTTTAGCAAGAGGAATCCAAAACCATCTCACAAAGGCCCAGTAATTGCTGAATATATCACATATACAGTAGATTATAATTGCAAGCTACTGAAGAGATCATCTTTAACATGGGTATTACCTCTGCAATCAAATCCCCATTCTCTGCATGAACTTGAGCAATTGCACCAATCTGTTTACATTGACTGAAGATTGTATGTAATTCTACATCTCCAACCATATAGACATCTTTATATGCCATAAACATTTTAAATGAATTGACACCCTTTTCCCTGGTAAGAATTTTCATTTCCTCTTTGACCTGAAAAAAAAAGTAAAAAATACCTTAAACAGCATTCAACTCCTCAATTTGTTCTATGCATAGTACTGAAAGTTTTTCTAGTTCTTTTTAAATCAACGTATCTAACTATGATCATTCCTTTTTTCATTGTTACTCCCATAATCATTTCTGTAACAGTAATTTTTCATTTAAAATCACCTACAGCAGTAAAATATAGTTGTAATTCTCCTTAATAAGGTGGGGAAAAGAAAGACTGCTCCACTGATTGTAGAAAAGGCTTCCAAGAGTTATTAAAATTGTAATTACTGAGAAATTCAGTTTTAATTATAAGAAAAAAAACCTCACATGGGACATGTCATTCTTCCTGCATCAACTAATTATTGGTATTTTAGATTGACTTAATCACCAGAAGGTATGTTGAAGGCTATAAGCTAAGATGGCTTTAAGGGGAATTAGACAAATTTAAGAAGAATAGATATATTTGTTGAAACATTTCCTAAAACATTTGTATGATTAAGTACTGCCCTTTCGTGACATTAATTATTTTTATAGTTGAGTGTAGAAATCACTTACATTTCTTGGAAAATTATTATCTGGGGTTATCCACGTGAAAATCAATAAGTGGGTACTCCATGACTGGAAGTTTTTAAGAATAATTGGACAACCCTTTTCCAGAATGGTACAGGGTCTCCTGCCTGAGCAAGGGTTGGACTAGAAGACCTCCAAGGACCCTTCCAACTCTATTATTCTGTTAAGAGCTTGCAGTTTTTCATGAGTGACATGCTATACCAACTTGCAATGAACATTCCTAGGACAGATCATACCTTAATTCCAAACAATAGTTATGGGAAAGCATTTAACTATTTCCAAATGGGTGAGTTCCAGATTTTTTGGGATTGCAACATCCCATGCAATCCAGGAAGCGCTTTGATGATGTTGAAATGGGAGATGTGACCAGATGATGAAAGCCCTGCCCTCGTTTATATGTTCTTGAGTTTCCAGGAACTGTTGGCTGAACAATCCTAGGAGATTTATTTATTTAAAAAATGTATATAGCTGTCTATCTTCTAACCAATTCTGGGTGACTCCCAATCAAAAGTTAAAACAGGATACAAAACCATATTGAAACTATAAAATCAAAAACATTAAAAACAACAGAAACCTGTCACCAAGACATGCTTCTAATGTCCAACTTTATCCCGATGTGTGAAGAAAAAAAACAGATCTTCAAAGCTTTATGGAAGGCTAGAAGGGTGGAGGTCTGTCAAACTTCAGGGGGTAGAGTGTTCCATAGGGCAGGGGCTATCTTGGAAAAGGCAGGCTTCCTAGCTGCCATCACAGGGCAACATTTAGGAGAAGAGCTTAGAAGCGTGCCTGCCCTATCTAATCTGGTAGATTTCCTTAAGGAAAGGTGGTCCTGTGGATGATTTTATGCATAAACCATCAGAAGAAGGCCAGATTAGGAAAGGCTAGTTTAAAGATTGGGTTTTGTCCACATTGTTAAATAACCCACAATCCCACATTAATATCATATGCAAATTAAAAAAATTGTTCTAGTTTTTGCAGCTCTTTGAATATTGCAATGTATTTTTCAGACCTCAAACTATTCTGGCTGGCTAGGGAATTCTTAAAGTTGCCAAGGTTGAGAAACACAGTCTACACTCAATAAACTGTCCTCAAGGCTGAGAGAGTTGCATCTCTATGCTCCAGTTCTCATATGTTTGAGTCAAGCCAATGACTCTTGATACTTGTGCCCAGGAAAATGGCAAGCAAGTTGCATGCTGGACTTCCTTAAAATATACAGCTGATGTTCTGCCTACCCTACCTGCTCACTGCACCATGTGACGGCCACATGTAGTGCATAATCACAGAAGACTTTAGGATCAGCCCAGCTCCTCCACTGGTTATAGGCTTCAATGAGGGAACAGCCTTTGTTAGGGACTGCAAAATCCATTATCATAGTGGTACCTCCTGCAAGGGCAGCCTGAAAAGGAGAGGTTGCAATTAAATATTTACTTTGCCATTGGGCAATGAATAATATTAGAAATACAACAATTTAGAAGCATTCCTGACAAGAAAGGAACCTGTCTATAAGCTATGAAAAAATAGCAAAATTAATGATACAAAGCTATAATATTATTGTATCACTAAAATCTATATATAAAGATTGTAAAATAATAATAATAGCAACAGCAACAGCAGCAGCAGCAGCAGCAAAAACAACAATAATAATAAAGTTGGAAGGTACCTTGGAGGTCACCTAGTCCAACCCCCTGCTCAGGCAGGAAACCCTATATCATTTCAGACAAATGGCTGTCCAGTCTCTTCTTAAAAATTTCCAGTGTTGGACTGGAATTTATGTCCACATTAAGAATATAATCTCTTTTTATGACTCAGTAATCCCTTAATTCAGGGTAGAGTCAGGGTGACTGGGTGGATCTAATATAATATAAAATTCTGTAGTATACATGTAAATTTATGAAAAGTTATGGAAAGATAAAAATCAGAATTTCTAACACAATATGAAATTACCATAGAACTAAAATCATTATATATAAATCATAATATTGACATTAAAATATGTAAGTCTAATATACAGTACACTAGAGCAGTGGTTCTTACCCTGGGCGATATTGCCCCCCAGGGGGCGATTTCATTTTTCAGGGGGGTGATGGAATAAAAAGGGACAATGTGGGGGCGAAGGAACGAAAAGGGGGTGATATGGGGGCGATGGAGCGAGAAGTTTTGGGGACACTTTTGAGACTTTTTCGTACAGTGAATCGCTGTATATCTGTCGTACAAAAACATCAGATCGCTTGCTATTAGTGGATTGAATTGTGTTTTCAAATGTTCTTCCAGCTAGCTTCAGTACAGAACACCGTACATATGTGAATATTCATTGCTTATCTTCATGCGCGTTGCGCAGCAGCCTCTACCCTTTTTATATATCTTTTTGCGTCTTAAATTTTACTTGTAATTCAATCATTAAATATTACTGTTTTTCTTTTTGGGCATTTCACTTTCTTACAATTGAATTTTGTTTTCAAAGTGGTCATTACATTTAAGTGTCTTGAATAAATAAGATAATAATGAAATATATGTATCACGAAGTTTGGGAATTAAAGTGACGGGTGGCACCAAACTTTTTCACACAGTTGAGATATGGGAAAAAGATTGGAAATAAATTATTTGCATCAATATGTCCTGATGACAATTTTAAAGAAAATAAAACAAGTGTTTGCATAAAGTGAAGAATTATTTCCTATGTTGTGATTGAGAGGTTATGTTGCGGGAGTGGGGCGAAGACAACTACCTCATTGGCTCAAGAGGGCAATTTGTTCAAAAAGGTTAAAAACCACTGCACTAGAGTATAAAAAAAGTTAAAATCATACATGCAGTCAATTTATAAAACAGCTAGAAAAAAACTTTAAGAAACCTAAAAGACATGTGATAAGCCAATCTCCCTGGCTTGAGGGAATAACCAATTTTTCACTAATTTTCCTAAAAGCTGGAAAGGGACTGATAACACATCTGGGGGCTACTAAAACATAAAAGTCTTTAAGGGTGACAACCAGCACCTTCAATTACATTCAGAAGCTGACTGGCCAAAAGTGCAGATGTGAAAGCTAAGGTATTATGTGGGCCCTTGAAATACAGGTTGATTTACAACCATTTGTTTAACAACTGTTTGAAGTTGCAACAACATTGAAAAATTGATTACCATTGGTCCTCACACTTATGACAGTTGCAGCCTCTTGGGATCATGCGATCACCTTTTGCGACCATCGTAGCCTGCTTTGAACAAGCACAGTCAATCGGAGATGCTGGATTCAGTTAACAACTGCAGTGATTTGATTGATAACCATGGCAAAAACCATGGCTGTAAAACTGGGTGCAACCCATTTAACAACTGCCTTGCAGGGGGTTGGATTAGAAGATCTCCAAGGTTCATTCCAACTCGTTATTCTGTTGTTCTGTTGCATTCTGGACCAGCTATAGCTTTGAAATACTCTTCAAGGGCAAAAGCATCTCCTCAGTTAAGTGAGGAAATGTTTTAAAGATGCACCGGGTACAAAGCAAAGTTCTCCACACTGGAATGCTTTCATATGAATATCCATGCACGTGTTCAAGACTATGTGTGGCATCAAAGGCTTTGCCTGGGAATTTCTGCAGCATTTATGTGTTACTGAGCCTCACCAGGCCAGATGGTCTGCAGATAAGGAAGAAGGGAGCCAGAAGCACCTAAGGCACACAATTAGTGGGAACTATTTTCCAAGTGACTGCTGAGCTGGAAAAATAAATCTGTGTCTCAGCAGAACAATAACAGAAGTGGAAATGATGACTTTGAAATATGGCAGTTGCGACCCAGAAGAGTAAAGCAAAGCTCCTCAGGGGCTCTGAGGGTTTCACATGAAATACCTTTATCCGTTCTCAGGGAAATATATCAGTAGAAGAACTAGAGAAGGGAAGGTAGATTGTTCTTGAATCTTTTCTGCCCATTAATATGGGCAGAGAAGATTCAAGAACATCAGAGAGAAGAAAGCCAATGGAGTGAATAAGATACCAAGGCAGACAAAGCTTGCAGTTCATGGTTGCTGAAAAAAGCACCCGGATGAAAAGGACAGTTGCTTTCTTAATGGTGCACATCTCTCCAGTAAGACTGGTAGCACTGTGTAATTCTGGTATTTTTTCTAATCAAACTACTTCATAGAAGAAAAGAAGCAGAACTGAAATAGCCTTGACAAAGTGCTATTGGTGCTGAGACAGTATATGTAGAAACCATATTGGCTTTTGTCTTCATTGGTTAGAGAATAGTTAAGTTAATTTTAAGGTTGCTTTGGAGCAGGGATCTTCAAACCTGGCCCTTTTATGACTTGTGGACTTCAACTCCCAGAATTCCTCAGCCAGTGTGCCTGGCTGAGGAATTCTGGGAGTTGAAGTCCACAAGTCATAAAAGGGCCAAGTTTGAAGACCCCTGCTTTGGAGGGTGCTTTTAAGAAAACAGCTTGTAAATGGAATTGACTGCATCCTGTTAAGAGCAATGAGTGAAGGGCTATTTAATTGGTTTTTCATATGCTAGCAGGAATCGAAATAATTATTTCTGTATCATTACTTATTTATTTATATTTATTAATCAAATTTATACAGCCATCCATCTTTCCCAAAGGGGATTCTGGGCAGCACACAATAAATAGATTTTTTTAAAAAAAAATCTAATAAATAACACAAAAGTAACATAAAGATAAAAATACTAACCCTAGGCAAAGGGAGGATAAAAATGGCTTTCTCAGGTCCCCTGGGCCTGGCAGTTTCACCAGGTCTGGAGAGCCTTGTGAAAAATCAAAGGGATAGAACTGATCCCATTAGCAGGTTAATTCTTGTTTCTCTGGGTGTTGGCTGTTGAAGAAGATGTGTTCTAGTCTTTTTGTTTCCTTTTTAGTTTTTTTTTTGTTGTCTCTTTGGAGATATGTAAATGTGGTTTATCTATATGTGTTTAGTGATGGCTGATGTGTCTATGTTTCCAGGAATTCCTAAGCATGGAACCAGACAAGCAATGAAGCAAAAAAAAAAAAAAAAAGCCTTAATCAAGGAACTACCAAGGAGAAAAACTTGGTAGATTTAATCCCATCAACACTGGCAGGGTAAACTACAAACCTCACATTCACTAGCACTGATGATGCTATCTAGTTGGGTAATGAAATGTCTTCAAGCAAAGAATCAAGCTTAGAGAACACCAACGTCTCCATAGTTCCATCCTGAGCTATGTATGTTCATTTTGGCAGTTTAATAACACTTCGTGCAACTTATTTATTTTTACCCTGACTTTATTGTTTTCATAAATAACTCAGGGTGGTGAATATACCTAATCCTACTTCCTCCTCCTATTTCCCCCACAACAACCCTTAGATTGGACTGAGAGAGATGACTGGCTCAAAGTCACCCAGCTGGCTTTCATGCCTAAGGTGGGACTAGAACTCATAGTCTCCTGGTCTCTGAATTAAAATTGCATTATTCTTTAATGTATTTTCAAGGCGATGTGATGAACTCAAATGATAATAACTTACTTGTGATAGCAGTCTCAACCAAAAGATACAGACCTGCTTAAAGAAGAGGGAGTCAAGCTATTCTCCAAAGCACCTGAAGGCAGAACAAGAAGCAACAGATGGAAACTAATCAAGGAGAGAAGCAACCTAGAACTAAAGAGAAACTTCCTGACAGTTAGAACAATTAACCAATAGAACAACCTGCCTCCAGAAGTGGTGAATGCTCCAACACTGGAAGTTTTTAAGAGACTGGACAGTCATTTGTCCGAAATGGTGTAAAGTTTCCTGCCTGAGCAGGGGATTGGACTCGATGACCTCCAAGGTCCCTTCCAACTTTATTATTATTATTATTAATTATTATTATTTCCAAATTAAAGTGTCAAATGATTGTTCCTCTTTACTAAATTAAAAATAAAACCTGATTATGAGATTTTATCTCCTGACCATCTAGAACAGGGGTGTCAAACTGCCGGCCCGCAGGCCAGACATGACACGGGAAGCCGCACCCACCCCATTGCCGGCAATGGCAAAATAGTCTCGATATGTTGCGTGATGTCATATGACATTGTGAGTTTGACATGTCTGATCTAGAAGTTGTGGGTAGTGATCATCCAAACATTAAACTGGTTTTCAGGAAGCACAGTTTGGGAGGTTAAGTGTTAGAGGAGAGAGTTGGATTCCACATGACCTGCTCTGCACTCCTAATTCAATTTTGGTCCCAGGTTTCAGTGTAGATTAACCTCGTTCTGTCACCTTTTCTAAGTGGAACAGAAGCTGTGTCAGCTCTGTCCTCTTCACCTTGGACAGCCAACTCTCCTGATTATGAAATTAAAACTTCCATTAACCCTAGTGAACATAATCAATGGTCAACAATGATGGCAGCTATAGACTAACAATATCTGGAGAACTAAACACTGCCCTTTTCCTAAAGTGGCTCTCATTATTCCATTATTCACAGCCCCAGATTATTATTGGCATTGTGAGCAATATCCCTGCAGTTATACTTTTGAACTCAGACAATTTGTTGGTTTGTATTAACTCATGCAGAATAGAAATTGTATTTCATAATTCAGCTGTGGAAGGAAAATAAGTTTGATGGCAACATATACCAGCTATAGTGACTATTTCTTTAGGTGGCCATAGGTGCTGCCCAAAATATTCAGTGCATGGAACAACTGGATTTTGGAGCACGAAAATGGAAAGAAACATTTTAAAAATTATTGGGTATGTAAAGAATGAATGAATGTGTTCTTAATACACATAAAACAGTTGTTTTAAAAAGTGTATGTATGCATGATGGAAATGGGGTAAGAAGACATGATTGGTGATAGCCGAGGAAGGAATGGGAACAATGGAAGATAGGTAACTTGAACATTTGCTCTGGAACCACAGCAGTTGCTCTCTTCAAAGCAAATAGGTTGAGGGTAAGACCATCTCAGTGGATCATCTTTCTCTGGAAGCCTTTACTTGCTTTGCCTGTTTCTGCTCTAAGTGATCTTTGATTGAACTAGGCTTATCCCAGCAATTTCTTCCTCCAATCTAGCCAGATTTCAAACATTTTCCCTGGACAGTTTGGCTGGGTCCATGTTTCTGCCCTATTCTTGAATAAGGAAGAGAAAGGAAGTCACCAGACAGCAGCAGAAGGCTTGAAAATATCTTCTCTACTGGTCAATACTGGACATGACCTGAAACTGCGAAGCAGAATCTCACAAAGGAAGAGATGTGGCCTCCGAGTGTGATAATAGGGAAATATATGAGAATGTTGTTAAGAGTGTTGTCTTAGTTACTCCTATCTTCTTAAAGGGGATCTATAAGAACATGGTTTGCAGTGTTTCATCATCTGCACAATTTATCAATTGTCGAAAAAGCCTGGAGGGAATAAAGAGAAGGACCCTTGTTAGCCTTAAAAGGAATCTTTAAGCAAATGTTTTGCAATGTTTCACCATCTGCACAATTTGTTGGAAGAAACTGGAGGATCCTTGTTAGCCATCTCCATCTCAGAAAAAGAGCCCAACCCAACCAGGAAAAGATGCTGTTGCCGATTTGCAGGGCCCTGTAAAAGGAAGTGGGAATGGGCACATCTGCACCAGTGGTTCTACTGTTCCTAGGCAGAGATAGGCAACCTTGGCTCTTTTATGACTCATGGACTTCAACTCCCAGAATTCCTGAGCCAGCATGGCTGGCTCAGGAATTCTGGGAGTTGAAGTCCACGAGTCATAAAAGAGCCAAGGTTGCCTACCCGTCCTAGGGGGACCTCACGGAATCTAGGGTGGGCAGGAGAGGCTGCCTCGAATGCGTTACCTTCGTTCCTTGATAGAAATCGTCTTTTGACCGCGACCCCATGAAGGGGAATTGCATATGCGTGTGCGGGTCGATCCCGCCGGGAAGCACCAGCTTGTCCGTGGCATCCAACACTTGGACTCCGTCGGAAGAAGGCTGGAGATGCGGCCCCACCGCCCGCACGACCCCGTCCTCGATGTACACATCGGCCACTTGCGAGACGTCCGCGTTCACCACTTTCCCACCGCGGATCAAGAGTTTCTGCATGATGAATCCTTCTGCGGGAGTTTCTGCTCGCTCAGTCGCTACGGGGGGAGAGTTCCGCGGAGTCGCGTTTTTAAGGTTCCCTCTCGACTCCGCCCCGCCCCCGGGGAAGGGGTCCCCGCCACCTCCCCTCTCTGGCGGCCTGTTCTAAAGAAGGGACTCAGATTCGCCCCTGCGTTCTTGCTAAAGGCTACTTGGCGCATTGTTGCGCCACAAGTGGGGCTGGCTCTCGAGGCGCAAATCGATCCCGGGTCATTAGTTGATGGCCGTCCGGAAGAGTAAAGGTCTCGTAATGATAAAGACCCCACCACCACCACTATACTAAACCCGCGAATAATTACTGTGGAATAAGAATAAATAAGGGACATCAAGTAATTGGCATTACTGCTCAGTGATTTCTTACTGAATCTTGTAGCTTTTTAGTGAAGGAAGGCACGGAGACATTCCCCCCCCCTCCCCAAAATGGCACATTTGAGATAGTCCCTTTTTTAAAGCATAATTTTGAAAAAATGTTTTTGTAAAATTAGTTTTCCTATTTTGTTCTGGATTCTAACTCCATAACTGCTAGCCAGGCTTGCCAACTAGGGTTGGATTACCACTACATGGAGGCAAAGGCCATTCTTTCCTTATTGCCAACTAGTGGTGATCCAGATTTTTGCAGCCTAGATGAGATAGTCCTAAATTTGGGATTATAGCTGTTGAAGTCACACATTTTAGGGGAAGGGGAAGGTGTTCTAGCCGATGAAATACCTTTAAGGTAGAATAGATCCTCCTTTGAGTGAGGTTTGACTCCTGGTGAATTGTAGATCTTTCAATGTAATTGGGTAACACCGTGGAAGTAAGGGGTCCTTAGTGCTCTCTGAGTTTGGTTGTTTTCTTGCCGATGTTACCCAAACATAATCAATGCTATAAGGAAGTGGGATTTGCTCCCAATTTATACTCCAGTGGATTGCCCTGTCAGTGTTGGTGGGAGTAATATGATAAGGCTGTTGACTCTTAGCACCACTACCCTAGAGGAACAATATTCCCAACCAACCCAATCCTAATTTCCCATTTCACATATGGTTAACCTATACTGTATTACCATCTGCTGAGTCACTGAACTTTTTTTCTCTCTCTTTTTGGTTTGTTTACTTTTCTGATAAGAAGTTGAAATTTAAATACTTTTAATGTTTGGTCTGCAAACATTCAGTGGCCTTGTGTCTGGAGATTCTGGGTCATCCACATCAGCTATCTCAAAGGTGTTTTTTCAAAAGATAATTGGAGTGTTTTTTCTCTGAGGTTCTGCTCCTCATCCAAGAAGCTTCATCAAGCTGGTCACAACTGATGAAGCTTCTTGGATGAGGAGCGAAACATCGTCTTCTTCTTTCTCAAAGAAAAAAACAGCCCAGTTGCCTTTTGAAAAAAGCACTTTTGAGATTCAGTGGCCTTGACCTCAAACACATTTTTTGCTTAGATAATGACATTTACAAAGTGATAAAGGAAAATGAATCATGTTCTTGAGAAATAACAGCAGAGGTGAGAAAGAAAAAAAAAGTCTATTCACAAATTGCCATAATGCTACCTCCTACCATTGCCTCTAGACTTCTCTGCCTGCAGTGATGCTCTCTATTGCCTCCCCTAACTTTAATTACTTAATATAATTTTATAATGTGTGGGCTATGACTATCCTATGGTTATTTTACAATGGCCAAAGTGTAAGCATTTTTAATTAATAAATAGAATTACAGGTAGTTCTTGAACCAAAATTTCTTACTAAGCAAGATGGCTCAGGATGGCTTATTATCTACCAAATAAAAATAGAGAAATCTCTAAATGTTTTATTGTTATGGTAGGAAGGCTTTATATGCTTTTGGAAGAGTGGCTTTTCTATGCCAACTGTAAATAAATTAAATACAACAGAAGGCATATAAATTTAATACATAAATAAGAAATTTTGTTTTTGCTACAATAAATAGGGTTCAAATCAGTTCAAAAATTGTTCTCATTTAACAGTACATTTCCCAAATGTTCACTTTCTTAGAGACCTGCTTAAAACAGCCATTTCTGTAATAATATGTAATATAGAATTATAATATATATCACATAATATATAATCTGTAATAAAATTATGGTAATCTATAACACTTCTGTCTCCCTCTCTGAATTATAATTGCAATCAAAGCATTTGTGGTAAGTCACCTCTATTTCTGCAAGCAGGTCTTTTCCCTCTTACTTCACATTGCGGGGATATTAAGGTCATCAAAAAGAATGCAGCTAGTTTGGCAAACCTTATCTTTGACTGAAACATACTTTGCTCTTTCTGAAAAATTTCTCAATTTCTTTGAAGGAAATTTTATTTCTATTCTTTTCAACTTCTTCAGTACATAAAAATGGTCTGCTTTTGACAAATCATTTCCCTTTTAATTACTATACATTATGCATAGAAAAATAATGCTATTCTATGTAAGCCATATTAATAATTTATTTCCTGCCTCTATTATGTTTATAAATAACTCAAGGAGATGAACATACCTAATACTCCTTCTCCTATTTTCCTCACAGCAACCACCCTATGAGAGGGATTGGGTTGAGAGAATGACTGGCCCAAGGTCACCCAACTAGCTTTCATGCTTAAGGTGGAACTAGAATTCATGATGTTGGTTCTAGCATGGTGTCTTAACCACTAGACCCAACTGGATCTGTTGTTGACTCTTATGGAGAAGTTAGCAGTTAAGCAGGTGAATAATGATTCTGACACCACAGTGACTCTGAACATAGCATGGTAGAACTGGTAAAGGGTCTATCCAAAGAAATATTCCCTCCCTAAAGTGTCCCTCTGCTATAAGACTATAAGAGAGTCAACACACAATTTCATACAAATGTGCTGCACAATCAAGACAAGAACTGGTTCTTACCTAATGTAGTTCTTCAAATATTCATGCTCACTGGTGAGACATCTATACAAAGGCCCATTAGAAACCTTACAGGACTAAATGGCAGGAGCCCTATCCTCCAAGTGTACCATAAAATTATGGTCAGCTTCTGCTAAATGCTGTTTTTAAGATAAACACAGCAGAGTTGAAGACATTATGAAGTCCTGCGACTAAATGGGTTAGCATTATAGGTCATGTGAATGCACAGATTAACATTCAAAGGCCCAGGAAATACAGTTCATTTCTTTGCTTAAGTGTAGAATGTTGTCTATACATTTGGGAGTTTGTTAAAAGAGACCCTCTAATATTGCTTTGGAAATTTTTTAATCATCTCTGTGAATAACACACACTGGTGAGTAGTAAAATATAGTCTTGGCAAAATGATACCATAAAATCTAAGCAAAAGGCAGGAATTTAATAAGACATCCAGAGAACAAAGCAATGTTTCCATTGGTGTTAAGGAATTGGTAAAAATACAGGAAATAAGTTGCAATTCAGGTGGAAGGTAAAGTCCAACCTTGGAAGGAAGTAAATCTTCAAATCAAGAACTTTGTAATGAGCAAAGTTCTCCAGCTCAACTAGCCAAACTTACAACAAAAATTGCATTTCCATTGGTGAGGGGTTTGGGATGGCAGCCGCAAACTCAAAGGATTTCAATAATAAAATAGAGCAAGAAAGAAGCTCCAGGACAGAAGTGGTAGAGACACTGGAGAGTAGAGGCGTGCGAAGTCTTTCATGAAATGTTTTATTAGCAAGTTAAAAAACAAAGAGCCTAACGACAGAAGAGGCCTGTGAGATATGTTTTTACTTAAAGAAAGAGGCAAGTTAATGAAAGAGAAAAGCTAAAATGAGATGGATCTGATATTACAAAATCAGACTAATCTGAGATCTTTACTGGTGTAGTGGAGGATGGAGAGCCATTGGCTTCACATCTTTCTCCGCAAAATTGGATGGAAAATTATTTTTCCACATCCAGAATGTGTGATTGCATCTAAAGTTGCAATCTTATGCATACTTACTTAGTGTGAAGCTGCTTAAACAAACAAACAATAGGAAGGGACTTACACGTGTAAGATTGCACTGAATAACTTGTTTATAATGCAGGATAAAACAAATGTCTTATTCTTAGAAACAAAAGTCGTAAGTCTAGTCAAGCCAATAATTTGATTATTTTCTTGAAATCACTGAAAATGAAATGTTTTAATTTTAGGCATTCCTCTTTTGCGATAGGCTTCTATGTTTTTAAGTTATTTTAGCTTAATTCTATGTTAAGTTTAAAGTAAAAACGACCTGATATTTAGCTTCAAAGATTAAATAATATTCGAAACTTAGCAGCCAATTTTGCAATTAGAAATCTTGAATTTGATTTTCAAGAAACCACTCTCCGCCCCCAAATATGAAGCATTTTGAGTACTCTGTCAGGGGTCCCCAATCCCTGGGCCACAGCCCACTATCGAGCCATGGCCTGTTTGGAACTGGGCTGCGCAAGTGGAGGGCAAGCCCGTGTGCATGCACAAACTCCTCTCACGCAAGCAGCAGCCATCTGCCCTTGTGCGCAATGCTCCTCTCACATAAGTGGCAGGTGCCAACACCCGTTCTCACACAAATGGAGCTGTGCTTGCTTGCACACGCCCACCTTCCACTCCCAGGGAACTATCCTCTGCCCCCGTCAGACCGTTAAGCTAGAAGGGTTGGTAACTGCTGCTCTATGTCCTGTTCATATTTAAAAACTGAGGTAGAAACTTTTTTACTGGCTATTTTGGAGCATGGAATTAATTAAACTGATTATCTTCTTGTATGAGCCCTATCCTTGTACTTTTGGGAAAAGAGAAATCTGCATTTTTTCAATTTTCTCATTTACTGAGAAAATATATCATTCAATCATATGATAACATCAAAATTTTCAACTTACTGAAAAATGATCACACTTTCTAGTTTAATTTTATATGTAAATCTTTCTACTTGTGTTTTCTTAAAAAAACACTAGCAGAAAACAGATACTTTGGTTTTTCTTTAAAAAGTATCTCAATACATGACAAGTTTTTTAATGTAATATATCTTAAAACATGAGGGTTGTTTCGATAGCATAACAAGAATTCCACAAGTCTTTAAACATGCTTTAAAATGACATTCAGTAATGTATGTAAAATTTAATAAATAGGACACAATCATACACAAATACATTTTTCATAATAAATCAGTAAGCCTACTTAGACTGCCCAAGTATAAATATAACAGCAATTCACAACCTTTATCTTCTCAAAAGATTCATTTCTTGGTATCATCAAGAAGTAACAACTATCAATTGGCCATTAAACTGGAAACTCATTTTTTTTCCTATTGCTGATATATTTTGCACTAACAATGGGATGTAATAAAATAAAAACCTAGAACTTTTTGTTGTTTTAAGGCAAGTACTGATACTACATAAACTAGTTTTTAAATACAGTGAATAAATAGGAAGTTAGTAAAGCAAATTCAATTGTATCAACAAACCAAAGACAGTTAGAACCCAAGAACAGAGTTTATGGAAATATATATTCATTGTTGTATTAGAGGCTAATATTTAAAGTTATAGTGCATGTGCACTAATTCTTTAGAGACCTTAATACAGGTTTAGTGCAAATCCCTTTAGACTGAACAAATTTAAACTCTATTAGGGAAAGATCTATTGAAGTTTTCTAAGGTTATGTGTACCTATTTCAGCTTCTTAAAAAACACATTATATACAAGAATCAAATGCATATTTATCTGCTTTAAGTATCTATCTACAAAGATAGATGAAAAATTTCTTTGAATTTTTACACCTTATTTGGTTGTACCATTCTAGACCAACTTATTAAAGTTAATGTTATAAAAGCTACAAAACATTTTTTTGCCATCAGTTTCTGCCATTTTAACATTGACAAGAAAAAGAAAAAACAAATACAGTGTAGTGTACTGGAGAAAATCCCTCCTTTGGGGGAAAAAAGTTAACTAGAGAACATTCAGTAATTTGACAATATAAATCACAAGAGGAAAAAATAAGAATACTTTCAGCAATAATTAGCATTTAGTATATTGTATTAAATTAAATTGGCAATTTACACTGGATTTGATTTTAACATGAAATAAATATTACATACAAAACAGTCTGACAAATGGGAGTGAATGGTAGGCAGCCAAAAGTGTGGATGAGCAGCCATGTTCCTACTGTAAATTACACAATGTTAAAACTATTTGAAATCAAGGACCACTTCCTAGATAGCTCTATTCTTCTTTCTTCCAGAAAGCATGAGTAAGGAACTGGCGATAGATGCATGCTTTTACAACACTGAAAATGCACACGTACAGGTATGCCAGAAACTTGCATGCTGCAAAATTCCACCAAGTTCACTGGTTGGTGACGTGTTTTATAAATTTGAGACAACCTACTCTGTCAACTCCTTGCACAGGCTTTAAGGAGTCTAGTAGAAAAAGCAGTACTAGGAAAAGCTCTCAAGAAAAAGATCCTTAAAGGGTAATAGTTAACAACAGCAACAACAAAACAACCACCCTAGCAACAAACATACATTATGTATGTAGACTGGTAACAATTTTTCTTTGTTGCAACAGATTCATTCAGTCATGCACAATCAAATTTGGAAGTCATGTGAGTTGCCCTGGAATCTTTTTGAAACAAAAATCTATTTTTTTTTCCTTAAAGAAGAAGTACAAAAACCAATCACCATATTGCTCCAACTTGCAGACATTTCCACTCATTCAATACTTAGCAGAGTAACAAAGCCTCATCATCGCTACTTTCATTTTTCAACATAACTTCTAAGCACGAGTCAGGTATCTGAGCAGTGTGTACTATTCCACAGCGCTCACAGGGGCCATCTCGATTAGAGGACTGTACTCCATTATGTGTTGCACTGTATGTCTGTCGAAGCCCTTGTCCTTGATCTGAAGTGAGATCAAGCAGAGGTTGTGAAGAATCATTCACATCAAAGTCTGATGCTATATCAGAAACCGGAATTAGCATTTCAACATCGTCATCTTCATCTCTTCCTTCACTTATTCCATTATCAAGCTGTCTCAACGGGCTTTGGTTCTGATTAACTGGACTTGATCTTCCTAAGGTGAAGCGTACCCAACGTAACCCTTGAGTCATTCGACTTAATGCACTAGAAAACTGATGGCGTCCTGGACTAGAACTCAGAGGTTCCATGCTTGCTGGTTCTCTTCCACTGTCTATACTACTGCTAGTATTCTGTGTTGAGGAAGTTCCACAGAAAACAGTTGCTTCCACCGCTGTTGCAGGAGGGACTTTCTGAGGCAATGTAGCAGCAACACCACCAACTGCACCTGTTGTGTCTCTTCGTTCAGTTTCTGTATCAGTATCATCAGATTCCACTGAAAAGAGGCTTCGGTGTGAACTATTTCTTTCTGCTTCTCTGTTACTGTTCTGGCTGGTAAGATCATCTCCATCTGATGACACCAATGACATGGATGCAGAATGACGGGATCTTGCAAAATTAAAGATTCGGTTCCAAATGTTACTTGACCGGCCAGCAATTGGAAATCTAATAGATGTAAATCCAAGCTGAGATCTCACTGCCAGTCTCAAATTTTCTAAGACCGAGGCCTGAAAAACAAACATAGGTAAATCTAGTGCTATAAAGAAAAAGGTAAACATGAATGTAATATTGGTTTTAATTTATTTTTTTCTGCAATAATAACCGAATCTGAGCAAAAGAGAGAGGAGGCAGCCAAGAAGCCTACTTTTGCTAAAAATTCCATGAGTAAAAGTATTAGTCATGCTGACGTTTGAACTTCTACTTCATCTAAGTATAGTCTTTCAAAAGAAAATATCCCCTACTCATTAATAGGCAAACAATCTAGAGTGGACTTCTGCTGCATTAGTTTTAGTTTCATAAGCAGCTTGAAACCCAATCCAGATTGTTTCCTGAATCCTACATATCATCTACTTGAAAAAACAAAGCATATGTTTGAGTGAGGCGTGGACAAACAGAACTCTTAAGAGCCCCACTGTGGACCGTGAAAAATAATTTTAGACGAGGCCTCCAAGATGTCAAGTGGAATCTCAAGACCCTTGAGACAGGCCCAACAGTATTCCAAGATACTGAGCAATCTTCAAAGTCAGAATACAGGCCCACTAAACATTGTGCCAGAAAGAGGCAAAAAGATATGTGGACTTATTCCAGCCTTATTATTTCAGTTCTTTAGTTCAACACACACACAGGTTTGGTAGTGGATTTAATTAATGGTGCAATTGTTATTATTTTCCATATTTAGATATTACTGACATGGTGTTCTGATAATATTTGAAGAACTATTTAGAAATTCGACATGGTAAAAAATTGGACATGGTAAAAAATTCTGGCATGGAGTTTGGCGCAATACTTTGTCAACAATAACATGCGTCCAATTAAATCATTACAATGATAATATAAATATTATGCATATGAAAATCTGTATAATTACATGATGACAAACAGTTCCTATTGACTTTATCTTTATTCACTTCACATACATTGAACTGTTTACACAAGTACCGAAATCAGAAAAGTGAAGAAAAATAACTGTGCTTTGGCTTTCTGAAAGATCTCTGAATTTCAAATTTTAACAATTAAGGACTTTAGCACATAAAAATAGTTAAGCAGTAACTGAGTTGAAATATAAAATTAATGTGTGATAGATTTCTGCTTTTCATATTTTTTCCCCAAAGACTCCACAGAATTTATACTGAAACTAGTAATCAGAGAAAAGAAGTTATTTCAACATGTTTCAGGACTATATGGAATATTTTTTGAAAACGGGAAGAATTTTCAATGGAAACTGAAACACAATAAGCAAGCACTCATGAAATAATAAAAAAACAACTGTTACTGTATAATGAGCAGAACTATGTGTAATGTATGTAGGATAGTATATATGTGTAATGTATGTAGGATAGTATATATATTATAGTATGTATGTATGTATGTATGTATGTATGTATGTATGTATGTATGTGTGTATATATATATATATATATATATATATATATATATATATATATATATATATATATATATATAGTATATAGGTAGCATCCAGGTGCAGTTTATGAATCTGAAATATTTTTCAGATTTATTTCAGAAATATTTCAAGAACCCACGAAATGTAACTGTTTCAATATTAAACTGAAGCAGCCTGAGTTTTATGACCAGAATTGTTTGACCAACTTTGTATCTCTGTAAAAGTCCTAATCTTGTGGCAATTAGATTTAGCAAAAATATTCCCAAACTAATTATTTTGAAGAGAGGGGGAAAGACAGGATAAAAAAGATGCTGGGTTGGATCTAAAGGATCCAGTGTGTCAAAAATTATACATCTGGCAAATTATATATCTTATTCTCTTTAAGGGAGATGGGGTGTTCAGAAATGTGAAATGTAAATAAATATCATTTGAGTCTAGAGAATCCTGTTGTAGTAAGGAGCTGAACTAAATAAAATAGTGCTTGATTTTCCAGAGCAACCAATTTATAGTTGCCATAGAACAGGGGTCTTCAAATTTGGCCCTTCAACTCCCAGAATTCTTCAGCCAGTGTAGAGTTGAAGTTCACAAGTCATAAAAGGGCCAAGTTTGAAGACCCCTGCCATAGAAATTCTTACCTGATTTGGTGAACAAACTGGGAAATCTTCGACGGGTGGAATTAGGCCTTGTGCAATCAGTTGTCCATAAGAAGGAGGCGCTTCTCTTCTCAGTAATTCTGCCTCAACCCTTGACAGCTGTGTCTCAAATGACCTGTCAAAAATAGAGACATGCTATATGGAGTCCAACTCACTTGTTTCAATATTCATATAACAGCAACAACATTTTATGCTATACCATACCTTTGTGCTACACTTAGACTGCAACTGTCAAGAACAGAGACCTGTCCTCTTTTAATCTAAGACATATTTGCACACTGATGGTGCAAAAATAATTATGAGAGCAATAATAATTTTATCAAAGGAAGAACTGACTTTGTATAAGCCTATCAACTTCAATGTCTTATATTTTCATGTATTTCAAGCAGTCAAGATTTTGTTTACTTTTTCTTTAACAAATAACATGTAGAATTCATCAGTGATAAAAGCCATTATATATATATATATATATACACTACCGTTAGGCCTCGACTTACAACCACAATTGAGCCCAAAAATTTCTGTCTTAAAGTAAGACAGCTTGAAGTGAGTTTTGCACCATTTAATGACCTTTCTTTCCATAGTTGTTAAGTGAATCACTGTAGTCCTTAAGTTAGTAACACGGTCGTTAGGTGAATCTGGCTTCCCCCATTGATTTTATTTGTCGGGTCGCAAAAGGTGACCTATGATCTCAGGACACTGCAACCATCATAAATATGAACCAGTTGCCAAGCATCCGAATTTTGATCACGTGACCACGTGGATGCTGCAACGGTCACAAGTGTGAAAAACGGTCATAAGTCACTTTTTCAGTGCCATTGTCATTTTGAATGGTCACTAAATGAATGGTTGTTAAGTCAAGGACTACCTGTATAATATTTTCTGACAAAGAAAAAAAAAACCCAGCAGTTTAAACTTTAAAGAGGTTGCTTACCTTCGTTCAAACATTCTTAATGAATACAGTTTACAAGTACATCCCAATGCAATGACAAGAAGCAACCCACAGATAAGGCTTCCAATGACAGCAGCTGTAATTACTCTGGTGGGCACAATCACTGGACAGTTCTCTTCGTCACTACCATCCCCACAGTCATCTTGGGAATCACACACCCAGCTTTCAAACACGCAGCGATTGTTTTTGCAGTGAAAGTTCCCTGGCTGGCAAAAGAAGCAATTCTTTTCATCAGAACCATTGGGACAATGATTTTGGTAGTTGCAGCGATCAGAGCGTGGGTAACAGACACCATTTCGGGAGCACGGAAATTCTTCCTTCTGACACATGGTGCAGTTGGTTTCATCCCTGCCATTTGGGCAATGCCAGTAGCCATCGCAACGCTGCTGCTCGGTGTAACATCCCCAATTTCCACCACAGGGTATTTCCCACGGCAGACAAAAACCATCTACTTGATATGTAGCATTAAACCCTCTTGCTGCATTTACTTTGTCAGCACAAAAATGCACTCTGATTTGACCAGAAGATGAAACAACTGTAAGAGGTGCATGAGAGTCAAAGGCAGTTAAAACACGCAAAAGCTTGTGTGCATTTTCTTCTAGTCCATCGTATATTTTGACATAATCCCCATAACCAGTACCATCAAGTTTAAAGTCAGTGAAACGCAAAATAACTTTGCGGTGATCTCCTGTATCTATCAGCCAAGTGCAATTGCTCCCTGGTGGATAAAAGTCTGGATAATTAGGAGAACTGAAAGTACCATAAAAATATTTTAGTAACTGCCCACAACTTGGCATGCCACAGTCTATTTCATCTCCTAAATCAAGACAGTCAAGGTTGCCATCGCATCTTGAAGATTCTGGAATGCAAGTATAAACATTGAAACGTGAGAGACACTGGAACTGATTGTATGCACATGGCGGGAAGGGAGCAGCAGTTGGTGGACTAGCCTTGGGACATATTTCTTCATCAGAATTATCTCCACATTCATCCATGTCATTACACTTCCAAGATTCCGGAACACATTTCCCATTAGCACAGTGGAACTGGTTACAGTCACAACTCAATTCACTGGATTTCCCTGAAACCGATATATTTAAGAAACGTTTAATTATTTAACCACTTTCTACCATTATTACTTTCTAATTTTACATTAGCTCCATGTATCTATAAGATAAACTGTAGAAAAGGGAACTGGAGTATAAAGACCTGGTTTTGTTTCTGCTTACTCACATTTCTGTGGATATCTGAGGTTTGGAAAGCCATCCTAAAATAACTAGGTTCCCCTAAACTTTTGCATGCATGATGTAACAAAATCAAGAATAGAATCCTTTTCATGACTTTTGGCCAGATGGAGCATCAACTGTCAGCTCTAAAAGGTATATCCAATCAGGAAACTGACTCTATGTGAACAGTAGAATTGCACTTTACTGAATGTAAACTTTATAGCACAGAATCTAGCAAATATGGGCTAGATTGGGCCTTCTGTGTCTCAAATGCTCTACTCTTCCCCTCTACTGCTTAATGTATGCTTCAGCACTTGCTGCTTCCTAACAGCTTCTCCAAGGGGACTCTAAGGCTCCCTACACATTGAGAGGAGATCTCAGAATGAAAAATCACTTTTGTTTCTAAATACTTTATTCCTGTTCATATGTGAACAGTCCTGTAACTTAATTTTGACATAATTAAGAGCGCTTTTGGTGTAATGGTTAAGGAATCGGTCTAAAAAACAGGAAACTGTAACTTCTAGTTCTGTCTTAGACAAAAAGCTACCTGGAAGACCTTGGGCCAGTCACTCTCTCTCAGCCCTAGAAAGGAGGCAATTGCAAACTATTTCTTAAACCTTGCCAATAAAATTGCAAGGACTAGTTAAGGCAGTCATCAAGAGTCAAAATTGACATAAAGGCACAAGAAATAAAATATCCATAATTAATAACGCTTTCACTAATTAATACAGGAATGATTGATCTGGAAATTGTATTAAGCGATTTGATAGTGCTGGCTACTGATATATAATGTAAATTCAGTTACTTTATTTTTCAGAGAACATCTTCACAATATTGCCAAGATTAGGTACTCTTCCTGAGTTGTAGATCAACTATTAAAAATGCCTAACAATCCTCAAATGTTTTTAAAAGAAAAAAGGAAAAAATAATAATTACTTGTTAGCAGATTTTGCACTTTAAACACTAAAAAAATTATAGATTTCTATCATAAAGGGGGTTTATATATAGACTAAAGCCAATGATAATGAAATTCATTGGGTTTGGACTTAGCCATTCATGTTAACTGAACCATTTTTGTTTGTAAATCACAATTTATGAATTTGTATGTTGTGTAATTTGATAAATGCAATTTAAACAAAATCATGGCCTAGTGACTTGTTTGACTCTAGTCATTACACTGTCCATATAAAACTATACTGAGCCCACATTCTACACAAATGGGTAACATATTGACTATACCATTTTTAAATTTAAACATACCTGCAAAATAAGTCAATCTGAAGCCCTTTCGTGATATGATATCATCTGAATGAAATCTGATCCAAACGTGATCTTGTGAAGAGATATATGGAGATGGAACAGAGGATCCACATACTCTGTAATTTTCCATGTTTTTGTAGGTCCCTATTGTTAAGGAATCTGAACTGCATCGCCGTGATCCTTGAACATCAAAATCCTGAAAACTACAGAAAAAAAAGAATCTTCTTTTGTTAAGAATTACCATCAGTATTTAAAAGGCAAATTTCATACTCATTCTGATAAAATTTTGACATGACAGTTTTTAACAAGGCTTAAAGAAATATTTATAACATTACCACAAGATTATGTATTTATTTTATTATAGCTGCCCACTCACATATAGGTGACTTTGGGTGGCTTACAAAATTTAATTATTTACATATATTCTATAAAATAACTAATACATTTATCTTATTCAACCTTTTGCCTAATTTTTTGAAGGGAAAGGAAAACCTTTGAATGCCCTACCTGTTTAAAACTAAACAACTGCATGCTATAATAACTAAAAACTATCTGCATCTATTAGTTTTTTCTGTCATTATAAATATATAGTTATTCCACTTCTCTGGCTTAATTGAAAACAGAGTTTATGAGGGAAATTAACTTGTCAAAAAAGCAAGATATCAGGCAGTATATTCCTTTCTCTGTTTTATCCATCCTAAGCAAGCAATCTGTATCTATGTCAGAGCTGGATAGACTATTATTAAGAACCATAGCAAATTTTATATTCCTTCTTGTGCACAAGATAAATTGGAAACATTTTTCAATTTTGTTTCATTTTGTAAGTTTTGAAAACTTGTCACATCCCTCCTCAGCAAGTTAAAAATTTATACAATGGTCCAATAAATAAGCACACCCAAGAATCAAAAATATATTCAGTATAATTACAATATTGTTTTTTTGTCTATTGAATGTAGTTTGTTCAAAAGACTTTGCTACTTTCAATGAATAGACTCCTAGCCACAAAGAAACTGCTTTCAAAACAAAATTGTGATGGGACATGGAGAAAAAGCAAAAGAAGTACATGATGACCAGGTTTGCTTGACCTTTTACAAATATTTACTTTGTAAATTTTATTTCTTGGCTTATTAAACTCTGCTACAGAACCCAATATGTGAAATTATGGGAAATGTTATTGGGCTTCGTTTTTACTTTAGGATTCCACATTCTGTCTTAACAATGGAATGATTTGTATTTGAAAGTCTAGCATAAGGATGCTTTTTTAAAATAATCAAGCGATACTGATAAAATCTGAAGATAAATGCAATTAATCAAAGTATTTGTAAAGCGCTTAATTTTCAGTAGAGAAGCACCTAACCAAGAAATTTAATTTATACTTTTCACATTATATCCCTAAAATATATATGAGTTACCTTATTGTAATAATTTCTCCTGGATTTGCCTGGATATACCAGCTACAATTCAATCTAGCAGGATATTCAAGAGGCCAGCCTGGGCTTGTAATTATCCCACTTGGGCCTTCAATTTGTTCTGGAATATCTCCACAACCTGAAAAAATATGTAGAGTTGATGTTACTAGTCATAGAGCGTTCTGTTACTTAAGTTTAAGTGAAAGAACATTTGGAGTTGAACCCAATAATGGTCCTTCTATCTAGTAGACCATCTTGCCACCTGAAGCCAAACACATATCTCTAGATCTGTCATAAAGAACTGGAGGTTGCCAAAAATAACATTTCTGTCCCCTGGTGGTCACTTTCCACTATTATCACAACTGAATAAAACTCATAAATATTTAGATAGTCATTATTGATTTTCACAGAAACGAAGCTATTTTTTTTTTGCAAAAAATCATTAAAATTCAGATGAAATGTCAGCATATTATAATAATTTTAAAAGGAACATATATGTAATTATTTAAACAAAACATAAAGATGAAAAATGAAAAAGAAAAAGCAAAATAACAATTATTATATTATATATTGGAGTATATTCTTGCACATATATAAATTCATATAAATGTTTTAGTTAATTTCAATAAAGAAGTAGCTTTTATTATAATAATCCATATAATCTACATAGGTAAAGAAGTTGTTTGTAAGTCACAAACAGTATCAGATTTTCAATCCAGTATGTAAACTAATCATAGGACATTAAACATGTTTTAATTTAATATTATTTTCACTGCATCTCTAACAACATGAACTATTCATAGTTTTTCCATGTAAGCGTAATAGAATCTGAGTAACTCTGAAATTTTATTATTTTTGTTGCTAAATAGGCTGAACACTAAGATATACAGCATTATTTTGACAAAAATGGGATCTCCAATTCAGTTCTTAAAAATTTTGCATCAAATTGCTTAATCAATAACAAGTACTTATAATGACTAATTGCAGATTTTTAAATATCTTATAATTACATCTACTAATTTTGGTATCATTTAAATAATTGATTCTAATAATTTAAGTGTCTCTAAAGCTAAAAATGCCACTTGTCCAGATCTATATGTCAAGAGATATTGTTAGAAGGCAGCAACAGTTAAATGATATTTATCTTTTAAATGTCAGTACAATGTATAGCCTTTGCAAATATTTTCCAAAACTTTATACAAACTCACATAAACAAGTGTTCAGAAATGAGATAAAAATAGTGAAATACATTTAATATTTCATTTATTTATTCTAAAGAGAACAAGAAAAGAAATACAAGACCTATATGATAAAAGAATAAAAAGAAAAATAAAATGAGTGAAAATTAATCTTGTTAACAAAATAAATATAAATGCAGCATCTCCCTATTACATATGAACAATGAAAGATCCAACACCATATTATGGAAAATACAAATGCACAAATGTAATATGGTAAAGATAACAGGCTATAGGTAAATCTCTAGAAAAATGTTTTCTTATAAATAGGCACATGGTATAAAGTAAAGAAGTTTATGCTCATCAAATAGGATAATTACAGGGATTTTTTTAAAAAATGCAAACCTTACAAAATTTAGATTTTCCAAAAATATATAGCAATGATTTGAGTTTATATTTTTTTTTTTGTTTAACTACCCATTAGATGGTGCTCTTATGCCACCATTTTGGGGGAACGTCTATATTTATTTACATATATTTAATCTTTTTGGGAATTCATGATATGAGCTAGAACAGATGATTTCATTTCCATATAAAGGTCAACAAACTTCAAGACAAATCACTTCCCTTCCAAAGAATTTTGAAATTGTAATTTAAAAACTGCAGCTATATCATTAATATTAGTTGTTTGAAAAATGCAATTCGTTCAAAAACAGAAGTTTCTCAAACATCATTCTCCCAACAGACCTTTAGTAATAGAAACACTGAAAAAAACCTCAAAATTATTTATTTTGTTTTTATCTTTTAAATGGTAGTTATCCCTCATTTTGTAAAACCCCTAAGTCTAATTCAAGCTACTTGCTTATGAAACCCAATATAGCCAGAATATTAGATGCTTTAGATAAAACTTTTGGTAGGAAGATCCTTCAGCCTGTTGAGGGCAACAGATGGAATGTGGTTGAACTTGTCTAGACTCAGAAGCTAAATGAACTTGTTAGGTTTTGAATGGACTTCCTATAGGAAATACCAAATGTAGGCTTGAGAAAACACCCTGAGAGAAGCTAATGGCAAATTGCAAGTCCATGACATCACTAAGACCCTAAAGCAATAGACCAGTGATCGCGAACCTTTTAGAGACCGTGTGCCCAAACTGCAACCCAAAACCCACTTATGTATCGTCAGGTGCCAGGTGGGCGTGGCCCATTGAGTAGGCATGGCCCATTGGGTGGGCATGACTGCAGTAGTAACGGCAGACTGGGTGGGACTAAAAAGTTCAATCAATCAATTCCAACTTTGCGAGATCTTTTTTTTCCCCGCGAGAAGTTGAAATTGATTGATTGATTGAACCTTTTTTTTTGCGGAGGCCTAAAGCGAAAAGGTTTTATAAAACCCAGCTGAAGGCCTAGGACTGGGGTGACGGCGCACATCCCCACAGAGACAGCTCTGCGTGCCACCTGTGGCATGCGTGCCATAGGTTTGCCACCACAGCAATAGACCTTTAAAGCCATTACTATGTTTTTTCTGGGATCCAAGTCCATCTGGGGTAGCAATGATCAGACATCTGAGCCTCCAGATGCTATTTGAACTTACCCAGGAATTTTACCACTAAAATCTCCCTGTCTGCCTTTAAGAATAGGCATTGACTAGGGCCACTGAGATAGAAAAGAGGATGCTGACTCACTTTTGCCCATCTCCTTAGTGCAGGGGTTCTCAACCAGGGGTGCGAGATGATATTCCGGGGGGATGCAAAAACTTGGGTTTAGAAATTTCAAAATTATAGTGTATATGCATAATTCACTGCCGTTATTTCAAAATTTTGTAAGGGGTAAGAGAATATATCAGAAGCTTTCTAAGGGTGAGGGATCTAGAAAAGGTTGGGAACCGCTGCCTTAGTGGGACAAACTGCTCTCTACAACAGGCCCTGTCAAGTGCAATATTATTGCGCACTGCACAAACTAATTTCTCATGAGATGGGTGGCTATATAAATTTGATAAACAAAATATGGGTCTGAGGATCTTGGGATGGAGTTTTAGGAACACAGGAGCAAAACAAGGCAGGAAGAATTCTAAGTACAAATAGATTCAGTGCTAGAATGTAATCTGATAGGATTCTTATTCTATACAGACAAATCAGATAGGACCTCTGCAAATTTGCTTGACACTCCCTAGGGGGGTTATAACTCATAACCTCAAAATTACAATACAGGATTTGAAAGCAATAAAGCTAATGGAGCAGACAATTGATTATAGTTCTATCAAACACTGTGATTCATTTGCAGTTCTTTACTATATACTGTTTAGCTTGCCTCATGCTTTTGTTAGAAAGAAAACGACCAAGGAAAAATATATTCCCACTTTTCTACTATTAATGTTCTTTATTCATTTTGAATAATTCACAAAACACTTATAGGATCGTCTTTCTATCTTTATTAAAATTAAAGCCCAAAATATTTAAATACTTTGGGTATACAGTGATTCCAGTATTCCCAATTCCTGATTTCTATGGAATTTTCAGATTGTTAATGCCTTCAGCATATGTTCACTCAATTTTTTATAGCTTGTGAAGTAAGTCAGCATTATTATCTCCATATTATATATGGTAAAGGGTTGCTGGCACAATGCTTATGCCAGAGGCTAGTATCAGCTATAATAATTAAAATGTAAGATTACCAGGAAAAAGTGTAAGAGCCCCACTAAATTAGGATGCATACTATTAAATTCTGTAGAATCATGATGATTTCCAGTCATACAATATTCCTGACAATTTGAACGTAGTTCAGTGAATGCACAGCGGATACATTGAATTAATAAAGTATATATTTGTTTTAAACTAGAAGGGGCGTTGGTCTTACCTGAACGCCTTTTCTCAGTACGGAGATGGATAATCCATGGATGGGTTTTCTCTGTCTGCCTGCTCTTGAGACCAAGTAGCCAAAGCTTGACACGCCCCCACTTCCTGTGGAGTCCATTCTTAATGAGGGCGAATTGGCTGATGATTGACGAGGTATTGGCTCTCAGCTCCCTACTAGCGGCCTGCTGGCCTTGGGGTGGGTGTGGATTATCCATCTCCGTACTGAGAAAAGGCGTTCAGGTAAGACCAACGCCCCTTCTCCAGTACAGGAGATGGATAATCCACGGATGGGACGTACCAAAGCCTCACTGTCCCAAGGGGTGGGAAACAGATAAGGCCGGTAGATTGATCTCTGAGACAACTTGCTGGAGGACCCTCCTACCAAAGGAGGCGTCCGCCGATGCAAAGCGGTCTATCTTGTAGTGTCGTATAAACGGGGAAGGCGAGGACCATGTCGCGGCCCTGCAAACTTCCTCGATTGACGCCTGGGTAGCCCATGCCGCCGAAGTTGCAGCGCTTCGGGTGGAATGGGCTGTGAGATGACTTGGGGGCGGCAGGGATGATACATTGTAAGCTTCTGCGATACAGCTTCGGATCCACCTTCCAATGGTGCCCGCGGAAACTTTCCGCCCCAAGGTGCCCGCTTGGAAGGACACAAATAGGGCCTCCGATTTGCGGAAGGGTTCTGTACGCTTTATATAACGCCGCAAGGCTCTGCGGACGTCCAATGTATGCCACTGCCGCTCCCGGTCATGTGTTGGATTTGGACAGAAGTTTGGGAGAATTACTTCCTGTGTCCTGTGAAAGAGTGAATTCACCTTCGGTATGAAGGCAGGATCTAACCTAAGGACCACCCTGTCCTTGTGGAAAATGCATAGGTCGTTTCTGACTGACAGTGCGGCCAGTTCCGAAATTCGTCTGGCCGATGTGATGGCAATCAGGAACGCCACCTTTAGCGACAGGTGTCGCAAGGAAACGGTCGCCAATGGTTCAAATGGTGACCGAGTGAGTGCGTGAAGGACTCGCGGTAGTTCCCAGGACGGGTACCTGTGAATTACTGGAGGTCTGGTGTTATAGGCGCCCTTGATAAAGGTGCAGATCCTGGGGTGT